CTCCGTGAGGAGCCACTGGGAATCTCGCTCCATATCCTCCATCATGATTTCGTACAGACCGTGCCATGGTAGGATATTAAAGATTGTTGGCGTCGGGGCCATCAGATCGATCAGGGTCATCCGGACTGCCCTCATCACCTCGCCCTCGAGGGAACTGTTTGGCGGCCGACTCGGCATTCTTGGCCTTCTTCCTCTCTCGGGCGAGTCTGTCAACCTCCTTGTTCCTTCTCCAATGTCCAATGTCTGAATCGGGGTCATCGATCTCAGACTCGTAGGCCTGCCAGGCTCTTCTTCTGGCTTCGAGGTTGAGACCGGCGCGCTCGACCATTCCGGAATATCGGAGGGCGGCGGCTCGTTGTCGGTTTTCGATCTCGGTTCAAGTGGCGTCGGGCTCGACGGGGAGGTCATAGAAGCCATTGGGCCCGATGAGGGCAGCGATCTCGGCGCGTCGGGTGCGTGTATCTGCCTCTCTTGCTTGGTCCATTCGGGCCTCAATTTCTGGGGCGAGCCGGGCATGTCGAGGGAGGTCGAGCAACTTGACGAGCGTGTGGTAGAGAAGCGTCCATGGACGCTGGTTGCCAGGGACGGGGTCGGCGAATGCTCGACCCGCAACAGACGGGATAAAAGTGGGGACAGGGGCGATGTCTCCGGCCCCGGCAATTGCTCCAAGCTCCTCGGGACTGTAGTCCGGGAACTCCTCCCAGAGCTGCTGATCCGTCAGTTCACGCCTGGCGACAGTGACAGCAGGCGCTGGGGTCTCTGCACGGACGGGGACAAGGAGGCTCCTTGGGGCCTGGACTCGGGCCATAGGAGTTTCTTCCCTTGCATCGGCGTAGACCCAGCTTGTGCTGGGATGCCAGCCGACGGGAGGTCCCCTGTTTGCAGGCCACGAAAGAACGGGTCTTGACCCATCTGTACGGGTGGTAGTCATGGCGGAAGCCCCAAGGCCAAGCTCTCCGGAATCACTGTCGTAGGGGTCCTTCTTTGGCTGGTTGTATCTCCTCCGCTCACTTCCCCAATCTGCGTCTGTCCACTTCGTTTGAGATCTTCCGCTCCAGTTGTCTCCGGTATGGGTTGCATCTTCCTCCTTGTTTGGGTAGAGGTCACCGAGGAGGTCTTCAAGTCGGATCCTTTCAAGCTCTGTGAGCTCATCCCCTTCATACTCGGTGTCAGTGCCTTCTTCGCCCTCGACCAAAGGCCTGGTGCCTTGTCTTCGGGCTCCGTCGGTGCTTGACTCGCCCTCAACTGAAGGCTGGTCGAAGAGACCTGGTAGGGGCGAGTCTCCTCTGTCGAGGAATACGCCCCAGGTATCGGTGATGTCGACGGAGTCGACTGACTCGGCGGTAGCGCTTCTGTAGGAGTCGGTGCTCGACCCTGAGGATCGCAAGCTGGGTCGCGATGATCCGTAGAGGGACTCTCCATAGAGGGACTCGTCCATCCCTCAGGGTGGCTCTGGAAGGGGTTGTCCATGCTGGATCGTTTGTTGAGAGGCCACGGGAATGTCGATTACTTGCAGAGGGTATGCTGGTATGCTGGGTACGTAATGAAATGGGAGTTGTGGTCGAACCCTTCTTTGTCGACGACAACAGCAGAGTGTCTGGTACAAGGAGATGGATAAGAAAAAGAGTATAAAAGTCACAAAGATGGCGGGAATGGCGTCGGACCAGGGCATCCGTTCGTGAGTCTATCCTTCGTAGAGTCTGGCGGTCACTATTAACCATGCAACTGTTACAACTGGTAGCAGTTTAACAGGTGACGGACAAGCAAATGGACGGTGAGGATGGTGAGGACGATGAGGAGGGCGATAATCAGGCTGAGGTCGGTTTTGTAGTCGGAGCTGGTCATCAGCAAGGTTTCGCCTGTCTCTGAGGTACTTGTTAGTGCCAACAATAAGATCGTTAGCACGAGAGCGAGTCGGAATAGGGTAATGAAAACGTTCAGATTCGAATTATCCCGATGTACAATCCTATCAGGTAGCCCGCGAGTAAGGGGGCTGGGATGTAGAATTGACACAGGAAGAGGGTGATTGCTATCCTGATTAACACAGAGGTTAACAGGTCTAGCCAGAGGATGGGTAGAATCCAGGCGGTCGCCACTAGGAGGATGATTGTTGGATACGTCTTGATCGGGTGGGATCGATGAAGCACCGACTATTGTCTAAGTGCCGCCTGGCGACCTATCGGTCTAGCCAGGAAGAAACCGAGTTTTAGGTAGTTGGGCAGCGTCTGATGTGACGCCGGGCAACGTTGGTGTCGAGCTTCGGCTAAATGTTAGCCACTAACTCCAATCAACTTAGATCGTGCTAGGATCACCACTCGCACTTCGGTGGTAGATGCTCTAGCAAGTCAAAGGCGATCTGTGAAGTCGATGGGACAGATAGTCACGAAGAACGGAGTTCGATGTTAGGTAGATTAAACCTTAGCCGAAGCTGGGGTCTAATCCAGCTGAGGCTCTACTTAAATACATGTTGATATGCTAATAATAGTACTGTGGGAAATGGTCCATTGTGATCACATATGAGTAATCAAGCTGAGTCAAATGAAGAAAAACGAATAAACCGTAACATCGGATCCCAACCAAATCCAACCACCCTTGCTTTCTTTCCTCCATCAACATTTCAGCACCCACCTCTCTTGTTCCTCTTCACATGTCACCATTTATGGTTTTATCTTCCTTCTGGCTTACCAGTGCAGGCAACCTATGTTCCCTTCAGATGGTCCTCTTCACCATTCATGTGCTCCTTGGATATGTGTCCCTTATGCTTTGAATGCTAAATTCACTGTTCATTGTGCATGTTCATGCTGTCTCTTTCACTTGATCTCACACAGCCTTGTTTCACAGCACTTGGATGAGATGTCTTGTACTCAAGGCTGCCAGTGAGTACCCCAACTGCAACCTCATGCTTTTTTACTGACTCGTCTCATGCTTTTCATAGGAATAGTGTTCTAAGGGTACCTGTCCTGGAATGTATGTAACTTGAATTGTTTTGACATTTGTCATATTTATGCCATAGCACTTAGGACTTGGAACAACCCATGAACTGTGATGGTGCCGAAGACCAGGTGTGACAACTGCGGTTATTGCACTGTCCCTATATTTCCTATTTTTCATAGCAACGCAATCAGTTGTAAGTGCTGTAGCCTTGTTCCTATCAGCTACTACTGATCTCACTGCTGTTCTGCTAGGATTTCAATCTGTTTTGGTGTACTTTGTGATGACAGGGTGGATCATGATGCTACTCAGAGTTCAGATGTTGGAGGTGGTCTAGTGCATGTGATGTCATACAGCTATATTGGTGTAGTAGCTAGTAGTAATATATTGATTTCATTCATTTCATGGTCTGCCCTCTTCTGTGTTTGTCAGAATATGTCTTCATAGGTATTGATACAATGCTGCTACTGTAGCAATACAATAGTTCGGGTGGGGTGCTATCACTTGATACAGCTACTACATACTCTTAGTGGTGTGCTACAAGCTGCTACATGTGAGGGACTGTGCTATGGCACTACAAGTGCTACATAGACTACATATTGCAATGTAGCAAAGTAGTTTTTTCCTGATGCAATCCAATCGCTATGGATTTACATCGTCCCCAACTGTGAGCTACCATTGAAGGGTCAGCCACCACCTCTGGCTTCCTACACATCGTCCCGCTCCCTGCGGAACTTGGAGAGCATTTTTAGACCATACACCATTCATCTACCTTGCCTTTGAATTCCTGCATATTCCTCTGAATGCATATCGCAATCGTTGAGATATCGGGACACACATCGAAGAATCTGGTCAGACGAGCCAATCAGGAAGGGAGGATTGACAAGAATCTGGTTGTATAGTCTGTTATTCATCGTCTGCCTCTACATGGCACATGTTTGATCTGGATGCCACACAAGACAATGCTTTCATGTTCTTCCCCAACAACTCCCTCTGCAAAAACTTTGATCATCCATGGACGTCATTCGCCTGCCTCAACAAGCTCAGCTTGTCACATCTGTCTCTGCTATCAGCTCTGATATTGGTTCTGTGTGCAGCTAGTCAGCTTAGAAGCACCTGAAAAGAATTTGTCTCATTCCTTCTTCAGAACCTTCATACCAAACAAAGAGGATGAGAGACGTCCACTGAAAGTTCTGAGCCCGGTGAATGCAGAAGCAGCGCTATCAATTATAGACATCTGGCCATTGGCCCGTAGGTTTGAGGACATCACACCTACACAACCATTTCATATATACTCAGCTCTCAGCCAAAATAGGTCTGACCACCGCACTGTTCAGCTTTGCCACCATTTCAAAGGAATGTCTGAATAAGATATTGGCTTTTTGCTAAGAAGAGAACTGCAGTGCATATCACATCTTTCTAATCTCCTTGCTTAGGTCTGATGTGCCATTTTCGTAAGAAGGAGCTGACTGCAAACGAGAAGAGTCAAGGTTGAAGGCAAGATTAAGTCATCTCATTTGCTTTGTCAGCACCTTATGAGCATTGCCTCACATGTTCAGCTGATGCTCAATGTCCATGTTCCAGAGACAGAAACGACCCTTCGGAATCAATATAGGAGTATTTCTTTTACTCTATACTGGGCTCTGTTTTATGGACATGATAATATATATATATATGGTTGCGAGAGAGGAACATAGTGCTTCATAAGTAGCCTTCATGACATCCTCTGATCATAACACCTCACAATATACTCTCCCAAGACTGATGTTTCTGCCTCATTGCGACCTAGCAGTGGAAGATACCAGAATTCCACATTCTTGAACAACTGTAGCACCTGCATAGGTATGGAAAAGGTGGCGCAAACTAAAAGAAAACATACTGTTTCACTTTCTATCAGTAAATATCCATCCATCTGTACCTCTTGCTGCTGTAAGGTGTACATGCTATACCACGGCTTGCGATGTTATGGTGCCATGTCCTTCCAGCATGCTTTACCCTGAGTATTCACATGTCACAATGATTAGGTTCAATCATGTCATCATTTTGAGCTGCAATTCCTGGATGCATGCATGTACACCTCTTCAATCAGAGAATCGGGCATCTCTCCCAGTCCAACTGAGCTAGACAGTTCTTTCCGCTCCTCCCAGATGTTAATGGCTTGGATAAGTCATGCCAGGTCATCACAGAATGTAGGTTCTGCTGCAAAGACAGAGATAGAACAAATGGTAATGACCCACAGCGATGGACAACACTCCATGGGAGATAGCACACTGAGTGCCATACGACCCTTCTTGCGGTTGTCTGGAAAATTTGGCGATATTGCAGGGGCTGAAGCTGAAGCTCAAAGCTTGGAGAGGTTAGTGTTGGGTGTGAGTACAAGTATGGTGCCACCATGTCTGGTGATGCTTCATGGGCAGTAGGGCTGCACACCATCACCGTATTGTATGGTGATATGGCTTCCATGTACAGTATACATGCTGAAGCCATGAGTCCTCCAAACAACACCATACAGTATGGCCGTTGACAGCCATATATGTGTGGCTTGTATGTGGCAGTGCAACCAGATGGGAGGAGGCACTTTTGAACCCTGTTTTTGTTTTCTGACATGAATTCGAGCATCTAAAAATCATTTTCATTCATCTCACTGTCTATTGCAGCCCTTGACAACTCAAACATTTGCCTTGAAGGAAGTATGACATCATAGCATGCTTCTTAAACTGACCAAAAATGGCATTTTCCTGGTGAGGATTCCCATGTAGCATCTTGAACTATTTAGTATGTCAGTCTAACATCCATCACACACCATACTGATGCATATCAGTAAGACGAAATCTTGACAACAAATACAGCCATAATTATATGGACTGATGCCATCAGCAGCCTTGCTCATATGGTATATGGTACAGATACAGATGGTGCGCATCCCTAACATTGGGCAGGCGAGGGCATTGCTGGAGGTTGAGGAGTTGGAAAGCGATCATGGATGGAGGCGTGAAGATAATTGAATTGTTGATGGAGTCCGTGGATGATGTCTCTTGAAGCAGGGTGAAGCAGTGCTACAAGGTAGAGATAGATGGGGCCACGTTGGTGAATCTGTCTCGTTGGAGGAACTGGAGGTATTACTGGTGGGTTATGGCATGTTTTTGATTTCTCGTTTGGAGTAAGCATTGACTAGTATCAAAGTCAATCAATGTCCACTGCTAGACATGCACACATCATTTTGTGTGAGGTTAATTCTCAGTGACACTCTCACCAGATTGTTCCCAAGGGCCCATGTGTGGGTGGATCAGGGCACTGATGGACAGGAGGCAACGTTGAAGAATTAACACAATGCTGACAGTATTACCAGTGGGTTCTTGGTCACAGAGTTGTCATGGGTGCTGGATTAGGCTCTGGAACATAAGTGGACAGCGCCCACAAGACACAATGCATTGTGAAGAACATCAGCCTGAATTGAACCTCCCTAGACATGTGCACTCTCCATTGGAGGAACCTCTCATGCGTGGCATTGTATGAGAAAACAATTGTTGCTATAATGTCCCAAATAACCTCTCTTCATTTAGAATATGTGCACGTCAATACCCTCCCAGGGTTCTTGGGTATTTTGGCGATGTTTTTGGGGCTAAAGAGGTCGACACTGGAATGATGTGGAAGCACCATGGTTATGTAGCATCCAATCAATATCCAGCAGATGTAGCGAAACACTGTTTGCAAGTGGGGAGGGAACATGTAGAGAATTGGTGTAGGACAAAAGTGTTGTCTTTCGTGGGCACAAATCAATGAGACCTGAGCAAGATGAACTACATCTAAAATAATGAGTATGAGACTTAGAAAAAGGTAAGAAGAGCACTGATGCACCAGACTAAAATAGCACCATCATCAGTTGATATGCAGTCGAATCCCCTCACACCAGACTCCAACACTGATAGTCACACTCCTGCATATCTGAGCCCATACTGAGATTGAGGGATGGGAAATTTCAATGTAGAATCACAGTAGCTTTTGTCAGCCATGTCTGAATGTACTATGAATCACCATTCAATGTGAATAGTACTGGACTCACTTGAAGAAACTCATCATCTGCTAAGACCAGCTATTCAAATTGCTGATCCTTGCAATCACATCATATCTCGATGAGGGTTCAGAAGGTTTGGGAGAATGGTGCTGGTACCATGAAGGTTGTTGAAGGGAAATAAGTGTGGTGTGAGAACACCCGATGTTCTTCTGGACTCGATAGCTCGCTTTACATATGCTTAAATGAGGTAGGAATTTATTGCTTCCTCATGGCATATCTCCTAGAAGTAATAAGGAGAAATGTAGTCTATGACACCAGTAGCATGTGAACACGTTGAACTGACAAAATAATCGTACCCAGATGAGCGAGTCAGTCCTCAAGCTCATCAACATCTGCCCTACATCACAGAAGGGAACTTTGAGTTTCATCATATGGCTTATCGATGTCCTTCTTGAGGATCTGCACCTTCATCGCCTCCGTACTTCTTTCCTCACAGACAAGCCATACCCTTGCGTTCTTACACAGAACACAGGCTCTTGGCCTCGGATAGTCTACAAGCACCACTGACAATCAGTCAAGGAATGACAATGAAAGATGCATGATTTTGTAGCAGATTGAGATTTCAGAGATCAGGCGGGGCAGCCAGAGGGTGACAAGTTGGGATGGAGAGACTGCGAGCATAATAGATGAGCAAATAGGTTGCAAGCTGCTGAGGATGACCTCGCAGGAGGAAAGCAGTCCAAAGTGCGGTAAGCCAGATGTGTGTTGGCTATACCTAGGCAATGTTGATTCAAATCCCTGAACCAAATTCAGATGTGCACAAATAGTAAATAGTAAGGTTGCCATGCTTCTCTGGGTGATAGAATACATGATGTTCTCATCAGTTGCTCAGTGCACCCTGTAAAGAAGTTAGAACAAGGCAAGACAAGGCAAGCATAGAGATATATACCAATCATCTCAGGGGTCAGGTCACCACTTGTGCTCTCCACCCTTGTCCTCCAAATATCATATATCCTTTCCTGCCATGTCCAACATCTGCTCCACATCCCACCTATCATTGATTATCCTTAAATGTATCCTTGGGCACAATTTCCTTCATGACACACTCTGTTTCCTCCTCTGCTTCTCATGTATGCACCCTTATTGGAATATGACAATCTATGGCTATCCATAGTTGCTGGGTGAATACTGTTTGTTGGACATCTGGCGGTGAGAGTGTGTCGAGTCCAATCTCACCTCACCTAGCCCAAAGCATTGATAATCTCGAATTCCACAGCCGAGGTAAATGATTTTGCATCGTATTTTTATCGTGACGAGAGCCAGGTTTGATCTCGAAGGATGTGTGGATGAACACCTGTCTATGAGTTAGCAAGGAAGTAGAAGTGAAAAAGAAAGGAACACACTGATAACAGATCGATACTGGACACCCTCCCATTTCTCATCCACCAGCTCTTTCCACATTCCTTGCATGATCATCTCCAGGCTCACATCACACATTGACTATTGTCTTTGCCCTGTTACCCTCCAACAAAGTCAATTGCAGTCTCATATACCACCCTTCAGGATGCTTTGAGCGATACAATGCAAGCATGAAGAGAAGATGTGTATGAGTGTTGATTATTGTAGGTCGACGCATGCTGAGGGAAGCCAAGAGTCAACAGGTCATGAGGAGAAAGAGAGAGTGCTCTTTTCCTTGTTGCTCCTGCCTGTGGTGATAGAGGTGGTTGCAAAGGATTATATATAGGGTACGGTGGGGCAAGAAAGAAGTCGAAGGGTGGATCGGAAATGGAGTTTCAGAAGAAAAACTCCAATTTCATACTACAAGCCTGCAGTGACTTGCCCTCTTTACTTCGAGGCCAACATCTAACTTTTGAATCTTTCCCATCAATGCTGACACTAGCAGCCCTCGATATTATTATATTTCCCAACAACTTTTATGAATGCAGTTTTTTTTGAATCAGAGAGAGCAGATTGTGTGTGTTAGGATGGAAACAAGCACAGGGAAACGCAACTGGAGGAAGGGTACATGATGTGATACTCTCTCAGGTTCTCGGATGATGTTTTTGGGGCTAAAGAGGTTGTCGCTGCAGTGATTATAGGGGGTCTGATGATGCTTTCAGAGCAGGTGATAGTGCCGCTAGAGGCTGAGTTGGAGGTGAGCATGGAGAGACATGTGGAGGTGGTCGAACTGCTAATAGCGAGTCTGTGGATGATGTCGCTTGGCAAGTTGAAGAAGCTGAGGGTCAGGAAGTGCAGATGAAATTGTAGAGGTGATTTGGCAGTGGGGTTGGGGAACTGTGAAGTGCATAGACATTGTGATAGTATCAGGATGGCAGACAACTTTGATAGCCCTATGCAGTGATGGCTCCTCCTTATCCTTGAACAGAACTGCCATCTTGAGTGGGATCAACCTACACTATATAGGAATGAGTAGAAGATTCAGAACAAGGTAAGAAGTTCATGCACTAGACCAGAACAATACTAGTCGAAGAGTCCCTTAGCACCCTCCTGTGGCACTGTTTGTCCATAGTTTATCACAAGTGATATCGATAAAGTCCCTTGCTGAACTGATGCCGACTTAGCTGAAATCAGAGCAGGCAATTTTGACATATGTCTACAGTATCTGGATACATGTTGAATCACCAGTCAACATGGATAGTATTGGACACACAGTTGAATCATCTACTAACACCAGCCATCCGAATTCTCAATCTTTGCAATCATGTCTCGATGAAGATTCAAAAACAGTGGTTGTTATGAACATACGTAGTACTATTCTTGATAGAAGTTTGTTCATAACTATGTTTATGAAGCCCCATTTCTGTCTGACTTGAAAGGTGGCCGAAGCACCTTAGTAACTTTGGGTGGGCCCTTGATCTCTGTCTACTTAAGGTAGGTGTCACTTGGATCTGACACCCTTATGTAAGCATTACATAAGTGCCAAATTTGATGGTCTGAATATAAAAGTAGTGAGATTTTGCATGATTTTGAACTGAATGGCCTCTTACATTGGTTTGTTCATTGCTCATGACATAATAATCATGCTAGATATTCTTTCAGAGCCATGCTGAGGCAAGTGCCTGCTGTTAATTATAGGCATGTGACATGCTGAATGACTAATAGATGACTAAGCTGCCAAATTCGACAAGGTCAAAAACTCTTTTTTGCTCTAAATGCATAGAAAATCATTGTAGAGTAGTCAGAAATAGGCCCCAAAATTTTTTACTAAAAGCTAAATATCTCCTCAACCTGGGAGTAATAAAATATTTTGTTTGCATAGAAATCATCCTTGGAGCATGTAGATACTATTGTTAGAGCTGTATTGACCATCTGTGCCTAGAGAATGTAAGAATAAAGGCACCAAGTTAGGACTTGTTCTGCTTATATAAGGGAGTGCCAGATCTGAGCAATGCCTACCTTATGTACTCAGATATTTGCCTTCTCAAACTTAAATTTTTTTTTTGGCTAAATATTCTCACAGGCCATCCAGCTCGATGCCCAATGACCAGAAAAGAAAACAGAACCTAGCAAAGTCTGATTGTCTTGAAGATTGATTATTCTGTTTTGAAATTGTCAATAGTTACCATGTTTGCTTTGAAATATCGCCTTTTCCATCAGGCACAGTTTTATTGTGTTTTTGACACAACATTTATATAAGTACAAGAATGAACCATGTTGCTGGTTCTTAAACAACTCATAAAATCCATCCTGTAGTGCAGCTGCTCTCCTCTGGAGACATTTTCAGTATGAAGGGTCTAGTATCTTTGGGCAGGCCTTTGATCTCTATTTACTTATTACATGGATATTTGCATTCTCAAACCTAAATAGTTTTTTTTGGCTAAATGTTCTCATGGGCCATCCAGCTCAATGCTCAATGGCCAGAAAAGGAAATAGAACCTAGCAAAGTCCAATTGTCTTGAAGATCAACTGTTCTGTTTCGAAATTGTCATTAGTTATCATGTTTGCTTGAAACATCATTTCAAACTGGCATGGTTTTAACATAATGTCTCTTCACATGAAAAATGTCTCCAGAGAACACCTGCACCACAGGATGGATTTTATGAGTTGTTTAAGAACCAGCAACATGGTTCATTCTTGTACTTATATAAATGTTGTGTCAAAAACACAATAAAACTGTGCCTGATGGAAAAGGCGATATTTCAAAGCAAACATGGTAACTATTGACAATTTCAAAACAGAATAATCAGTCTTCAAGACAATCAGACTTTGCTAGGTTCTGTTTCCTTTTCTGGCCATTAGGCATTGAGCTGAATAGTCTGTGAGAACATTTAGCCAAAAAAAATTTAAGTTTAGGAAGGCAAATATCCAAGTACATAAGTAGACAGAGATCAAAGGCCTGCCCAAAGTTACTAAGGTGCTTTAGCATTATAGGTTTCCATCTTAGAAGCCCCTTCTTCAAGATGAGCATGATGCGAGTAGAATGTGACATAAGAACCCAGGTGGTACTTATGAAACAGAAGAATTCAAAGAATATATGCACAACTTCATGGTAACGATGCCAATACAATAATAAAAACTTTAGGATTTTCTTCCCTTATTTCAGGCAGAATTCTGGCCATATTTTATTTTCCAAGAATCACCCCATCTTAAAAAAACATAGTCCGACACATTATCAATCCTTTCCACTTGTGATGGTCTACACAATACCATGGTGCACTGTTCTTTTTCCTCCTAATGTATCCAGTGTCAGTCCAGAAGTCTATGAGAACCAACTGTAAGTCATTCACTTTCTTAAGTGGAACTGCATTAAATAATCTGGAAGGGTGTGGATTCTGAATGATACTACTGGCGCTAAGTGGCCAGTCACAGTTTACTGCAAAAGAAAGGATCAGGCATTGACATTGAACACACATTTGAATTCATTCCTGGTGTATCATGGCCAAGAGGATGATGTAACTTTTAGAGTGTCTTTGCATGAGTGGCAAGAATGGCCCAGGATCACTGCAATGTTCAACAATGATGGGGCCACCTTCTGGGCCATCATATATGGCACAAAGGCAGGCATCTTCTATCACTGGTGTGTCTTTTGATCTTTTTCAGAATCAAACTCACTATACTTTTGATATAGAGAACATGCTGTAGACCAAGTCAATCAGTCAAACCCAATATATTGCAGGGCTCATGGCTTTGATAAGATTGAAAATGCACTAATCTGTCAAATGAGTTGCAGTGCAACTGTATATGAATGTGTAGATCAATACCTGGCCAACACAACAACTTCACCATTTCATGCTGGCAGTTGAGTTCTCCACCCTACATCCATCATTGCTTCACCCACAGCATCTCCAGTGAAGACCCTTCAAAGCAGAAAGGGAAGGCATACATTCCTGACTCATCACCAAGGAAAACTCATAAGTAATTTATCAAGGATTTTCCTTCAACTTTACTTATTCAAATGAGATCATGGCAACTACCTCACTTTGGGTGTGATCATCAATAGTGTTGGCAATGGGGACATATTTTCATCTCCCAGTGAGTGTTGTTCTAAAAGTAACTCATACTCTCCCTGAATTCCATAGCATCACACAGCTCACCAAGGACTCCAGTAAGCCTTGGCCAAGCAGGGCCCTCCAGGCCAAGATCCATGTCACCACTACATCTTCCCAAGTTACTTGCAAGATATCTGGAGGTATACCAGTACTTGAAGCAATATGTATCAAAACATCTTGAAGAGGCTGATACAAGGGATGACTTTATTGAAGCCATAGAGAAGAGTATTCCAAAAGAGGTGGCTGGATTCATTTGAGACCTGTACTTTAGGTTGATGGACATAGCCTTTTGAGTCCTCATAGTTAGCCTTTACAAATATATTTTTCCGAATTTATACATGTTCTTGTGTTTGCAAACAGGGGTGGTACATATTTCAGCTCAAGTTTCCTAATTGAAGTGAGACATAGCTAAGAAATGTACAATTTTTTTATGGAAGGAAGGGGGGACTTTGGTGGTGATGCAGAATTGAGAATATCCATCACAGATTTTAGCCCGGTGTTAGCATCTTTTGACATGAAAGACTGGAGAAAGAGATATATTTATTTCACTACTACAACTATCACTAGGGGATATTGGCAGAATAAATGTACTATGAGGTAGCAGAAGCACCGATATGCAGAGGTCAAAGTTGTCAGTCATGCAGATATGGTAGTCTGGGACTAATTTGTCTGGTTTATCAGTGTGACCAGTGCAGGCACCATAGCCTCAGCATTCCAGTCACTAGGGTGAAAGTCAAAGCCATCCAATGATCCTGACTGTGATGACTTCAGTGACAGTTGCATGACCCACATAACACCAGTTCAGAAGTCAAACAAGCACAGTCATGTCAAAAGCAAAGTGTCAAGACCACAGAAACTAGGGCCAGTTGAGGTGCCGATGTAAGATCATGCAATGCTTCGAGAAAACATTAGGCGAGTTGATGTAACTTAGGCAGAGCATGAAAAACTCAAAAATGACATGGTAGTAGAAATCCTAGCTGTCCAAAAGGATAGGTAAACAAAGCTCAAATGAATGATGTAATTCACATCCATTACAATCAGTGCACCAGGAAGATCAAAATTCTTTGGCAAACCTGAATTTTGAGCTTGAATATAACATTTTACAAATTCATTGGGGGTTCAGCTAACTTCCCATTTTAGAGGATGATGACCAGTGAACCTAACAAGTATGGACATAGTCAGTCTACACAGTCATCTGAAAGCATACGTTCGTAGGTAGTGAAATAAAAAAAGTGTACTTCCTCAGCATCAAGGGAACATAAAAGATAACTAAGGAAGGAGAAAGGTATGCAACATATAAGTGGATATAATGGAGCTGTGGCTAAACACTGAGTTGACAAACAAAAGGTATAGATGTACCAGTCAACAAAGGATCTAAATCCCATGCTGCTTGCCAGAGATCAAGTCAGGAATATGCAAATTTTATGTAAATTTTCTGCCAAGATCTTAGATTGACCTCCCAAAATGTAACCCTATTGTGGGCATTCAGATATCCCTCAAATTCTCATCTGTCCTGTGTACTTTTGCCATCAATGTATCAAGCTTGATAGGTTGAGCTGAACAACAATTGATCTCACAGCCACACAGAGGGTGTCCCAGTCAACCATTGTCATGTTGATACAAGGATGAAAAACCACTATTGGCTACCACAAAAAATCCAGGACTTGGTAAAATGAAAATATAGTATATCAAGGGGTGGTATGCATATTCTAAAGAGGAATGGCTGAAGATTGACGAAAGCACAACAGGTTGATGTTTTCAGTTGCACTTCCAATTGATTACTCCAGCAGCTGATCAGCAATACCTGTGCTCACTAGAAAAAATACTGATCCTCACAGGCTCAAGTGATGAAACTGAGACATGGCAGGGTTAGTTCCACCTTGGGTGAAGCATAAATGGTAATTCATTAACACACCAAATTTTAATTCCTTCAATGTCCATGTCATTATGATGTCAGTGGCTTTGTTTCAACTTCTTTGGAACAGGAGCATCGAAATCAACCTCCATAATTACCCGTTGCCACTGCCTTTCACTTGGCTCAGAATCCTCGGCATTGGGTTCCCCAGTGATACCAGTATTTTTGTAGGACTCCATATCACTTTTTAGCACTCCTGTTACTTCTTTACATTTCAACAGGGCTTTCCACAATTCATCAGCAGGGATAGTCAGAGCAGGAGCATCATAGTCCTTATAAGCATGCTTATAATACCCCTCCTGGATAATGATATCTTGCTCAGGGCCATGCCCATCCTCTGTAATCTAGGAGAACTCAGTAATTAACTCATGCCAGCAAATATATGGAACTTACTACCCAGGAATCCTTTTTCACACAATAGTAGACCAGTTTGCCATGTTTCCCATTTTTTTGATTGTCTCTGGCCCAATGGCCAAGAAATGATTGTAGTGTCTGTGGTCTTGATATGTGACCAGTACCCAATGCCCCTCATATCGGCCATACACTTGACCAGATTCAATCCTTGCCTCCTCAACCTCATCTTCTGACATTAAGCCTGGTGCAAACACAAAGATGGTGATGGTGAGGACAGGGATTCAGCCTTTGCCAATATTGAGGGCAATGCCAAGCCACAGCCTCCCTTCCATCAAGCAGAGAGCTCATGCAATGTCAAAATCTAAATTCTCAGCAGATTCAGAGAAGCCGACTTCAATTACAATAGTGGGGTACAAGTAAGCCTTTCGGACAGCCACTGACACGTGTGCAACATGTTCACACATGTAATTTTGCGAATTCTAGGAATGCAAATGTGTGTGTGCCCTGTGAATAATATTAGAGTGCATGTAAGGCATAGAGCGCTACACACTGAGGCAGAAAGCACTATAATAAAAATAATATGAGTAGAGCGCATGGCTTAGACTTAGAGTGGCACACTTGTGTCATTTAAGTGTGCAGTCTCAGTGCTTATACACACACACTGTGCCCTCCTCTGCAATGTATCAATCAATTAAATTCACTGAAGATAATATATTGAAGGTGCTTCACACTGCATTGATCTATGATGCGTGAACCCTGCCGATCTGGCAATCACCGAGAAACATCATCCTGAACGAAGAATCAACGAGTCTGAATACTCTAAGGAGTTCTCAGCTGGAGAGAAATAAAACACACTGCCCATATGAAATATTAAACTAGAAATGATTGTGTGGCAACCAATAAAATAAAACTTGCTCACTAGATAAGTTGTGTGGCACTGTAATTAAATCCACAGAGCCAATAAGAAGACACATGCCACATGGCACGACGAGGCTAGGCCTTGTCAAGTGGAGAAAACAGCAGTAGCACACGTGCCGACACGGAGTGCTGAGTAAAATAATGATTACTATCACTACGGCTGACACAGCATGCAATAGAAGGGAGTCCGAGATGGAGCGTTGTCTATTTTCAGTATTTACATTTCATATAGTTAATGGTAAATATAAGAGCGGTAGTTACAGGTAGTTAGCAAGTTTTCAGACCCCTGCAGTTGTACTACGAAGCAGCGTGCTTAGTGTACGACGAAAGGATTTTATTTGAAGCTTCGAGCGAGAGAATATTATTGAACTTAGAATTATTTTGAACACTTTGAGAGCTCACGAGGCATGCCTTGCTCAAGCGCACTTGATTTGTTCAAGTAAAGTACAGTAATTGATTGCACTCTACTTAGATAATATTGTATTGTGATAACTTGAATGTGCATTTGTGTTTTTGGAACTTGTTTGTGAATTCCGAGTTATTGCAAGTGGCAGAGGTTCAAACCCTTTGGCTTGTCAGTAATCTCTGAGGTCTTTGGTTTACTCCCAAGTGGCATAGGTTCAAACCCTGTGGCTTGTGGATGTGTTTTCTGTGTTTGTGTATCTCTGGATCGCATAGGTTAGAACCCTGTGGATCTACAAACAGGTTTTGAAGTGTTTTCTGCTTGGAGCGCAAGGCTTTAAGTCGTGTTAAGTGTATTGTGAAACGTTGTAGACACTTGTGTGTTGCGCACGATGTATTTTGAGGGTTATATGTTCTTGTAGAATGTTTGGGGGCTTGCGAAATAATACTTTTGCCTTGAGGCCAAGCGATTCTGTTGCTCACCTCCTGTTCCAAAAGCATTTGGACTTAGAAGATTATTATATTGCTAAGCATGCTATATTATATTGTAACGTGCAAGGATTCTTTCAATACTACTGCTATTGTGTGCTTGTATCACACATCACCCCCGAACTACTGAGGGTTTGTGTGTGTGTGAGTGTGAGTGTGTTGTGTTAGTGTTATATACGCTAGTGCATTTCTAGCTTGGCATGTACAAAGCCTCTTCACCGTGCTGGTGCTGTCAGGTGGAGGCTCTAAGTCATAGATTTGGATGTCGCACTGCTTCCAATGCTTGTCGAGAAGGGGGATGTCAGCAGATTCCATAATTATGATGGAGTGGGTGCCAGATTTATATCTGGAGTTGATAGCCTCCTTGATGACCTGACCGGCAAACTGATGGATCTGTGATGGGATTTGTAGAATTATATTGTTTTCATAGGTTTCAAGTCTAAGAAGCCATAGTCAATACTCCAGATAAAGTGGATCCTCATAATAACACACCGAACAGGCATGGCCTCAATTACTTCTTCACGATGCTCTTGGATCCAGGTTTTGGCCTCCTCGTCAATTTCTGTCATATAAATTTTATCATGATCACGGCTACTCATGTCCATGAACCACTTTCTTAGGTGGTCGGGAGCAGTGCGAAGCACAGGGGCCAGCCAACGGTCGGTATCATCAGGAGCGAGATTCGGAGGCGCGAGGATTGCGGATCGACCAAGCACTGTTGCACTTGGAGACTGAGTATGAGGTTGAGATGGAGCTTGCATTGTTTGAATTACGCTGTACGGTCAACGGTGATGGTATGGGTGGAAGAAACAAGATGTAGTGGCATGTATCTGATGGGCATGGGGCTAATTTTCCCACGTCCGATCACTCGACCAATTTCCACCACCACCACCACCACCACCACTTCAATGAAACCGACATCTCTGTTGCGTGCTGCCCTATTCTTTCTTCGACGAAGAAGCCGTTTGTCTTGACGAATTCGTGGGGGGAAACCTGGCACAAGTGGCGAGAATGTGCAGGGAGTGGTGGCGATGGCGACGGTGGTACAATGCGAGTGATTGGTATGCGTACACGTCGTATCCTGGAATCTGCATAGGAATTGTTCGTCCTTGTTTCTTGTTGCCCCCTGCTTTTCGTTCTTATTATGCAGCAGAATCGCTGCTGCAATGACTGCAGTTTCGTTTTCTAAGCCCCCGCACCTTTTGCCATTATGGATTGGCTCTACCTCTTACTCCTTCCATCGGCAACAGGCAATACATGTACCTCTCCAACGGCCATGCCTGGCCCTCGACGGAGGCCAAGGGGTCAGAAGATCATCAGTAGCGGGGGCGAATGGCGTCGTTTTCCTCTTGTTGGATGTCCCGTGCTCGAGCCACAAATCTCTGAACTCACTATAGCTCGGTCCATCAGCCGCTCCCAGTCGCATCGTCCTCTATCTCCAGGTTTCCTACATCAACAACCACACGACATGCCCATGCACACTGCCCGCGACATCATCGGCCTCAGAGAATTCAGTCAGCAGAGCTCAGTTGAAGAGGAAAGGCGGGTTGGTATGGGGGGTCGAGAGATAGCGGCTTGCCTTTCAGATGTGGAGACGATGGTCAGGATCCCCCTTTCCACGTCGTGTTGCTGCAATCCACGTAAGTTTTCTATCTTACCTCGTCGATTTTATATTGATTACCGACCGAATAGGCGTATTCCTATGGTACCCGTGTTCACCAGTATGAGCCCCACCCCCACCGTGACCAAACAAGGATGCATCAATTCCCGCCATTCGATTATGTCTTTTGCATATCATTCATTGCCAGCCGATGTTCTCAAGCGATGAGATTCAGCTCGCCGGGCTCATGCCGCGTATAATTATCGATTACCTATCAAAGGCGTTCTCTGAATAGGTCGTCCGGAGCTCGAACGGTACGGCGCCAACACGATGAAAGGACCCCAAGACCATGCATCCATGTATTCGCGTGCAGATGCTTGGACGGAAATGCTGCGATCCCACAATCACCCCATCTCTCACATCCCCAACGTTTTGAAGGGATGGCGAGCTTCTATCCAGCGAAGGATGCGCCGTGCAGCCAAGAGTTGAAGAAGATGTTGTCTTTTGCTGAAGAATTTTACGGTGGGTGACCTTATCGCTCTGACTCCCATATCCATATCTGACGTGTCGTTCCGCTAGGCTCACCGCACATAGAAAATTTGTTGGAAGAGCCCCGTGTCTCCCTTTATACACGTCCTGCAGGCTTCGCATACTTTTTTCAGACTGCCAACCTTGGAACACACTCCTATTACCCTAGACCCGACTCTGTTCGCCAGCCTCACCCTTCTTATCCCGCGCCACGCATCCCTCCGAATGAGCGGGCGCCACCACCTTTGCTGTTAGAGCGTGTGCTATCTGCGCCATATTCGTCGAGATATGGGGATCACCGTCTGCGTCCAAGAGTATGCCCCAACGTGGTCGAAAGAAGGGAAAAAGAAGTTATGGCCCGAGGATTTGACAGAGAGGGTGGCGTACGTGGCTCGATTTACAGTCGATCGCCCCTCCTTTCTACGGTATACCGTCATGAGGTGCATGCTTCGTGTAAGTGGGGAAGACCGGTCGTCGTCTAGGCGCATCGCTCCTGACTCGTGCGCCGCCTTTGAGCGGTTGCCGAGATTGTATATGTCCTCGTCTTGCATAAACCAATCAAAAGCTCGCAACGATTCCCTATGCAGCCGGTCTGGAGCTCAATGATCAGAGGTCCGGCTAGCGACCGGTATGTGACACTCCTCTGTCCCTTCCGAACCGAATCGATACAGGATAAATCCAGCCAGATCTGACGGACACATCGCAAGGCTGGCTGTATCAAGTGTATCGCTCTACCTCACGAGCATTTCGAAGGAATCGATATCGCCAATCTGGCTATTGGCGAAGGAGAGATCGTGTTGTTTTGTTAGACAGATATCTTCGGTACGTGCTGCATTCGCTGGACGTCTTTCCTAAATCTGATGTCTCGTTCCGATAGGCATTTTCCATGTCTTCCTAAACCGAGGAAAGAGACGTCTCTATTCTCAAATAAACCCTCTTTTACGAATATTGATGTTATACCTCATCTCAAGAGAGGGAAGCACGTTGTTTTATAACCGTCGCCTATCCTCACAAAGCTCTGGATACGATGCCTACACACTTTCCTGTACCCGTTGTAGTTCCCTCGTGCACTGATACACTGCGCCCCATACCACCGCCTTTACCCCCTACGAAGCACTTGGATGAGCATGGATCAATTTCGTGGCAAGGGAAACCAGAGCTTACCGTGCTTGGCCCCGCTCTCCCTCTCGACGGCTCCACGGCATTGCAACTCACCCTCAGGAAAACTCGCTCGATTACGCTAACGCTTGCCCCCTTCCCCAACTTGTCAATCTCCAGTTCTGATGTTGGTCTCCGCCTTCTCCATTCTCCGTCCACGATGAAATCGTGCCTGTTTGTTCCACCAGACAGAGAGAGCGTGCCCATTATGATTCCGTTCTGCACCGGTGATCTGTGACCCGGGTTGTGTTCGACCCTACGAAACGCCTTAATGAGTATTGGAGGTAAGGGACAACTAGAGCGTACCAAAGTTGGGACTGCTTTACTCCTGCGACACCGTCCTCGACAGCTACTCACTTGCTCGCCGATACGCTCGCGTATTCCTCATCCACAACTTGTCACCCTCCAGTTGCCCCGCCCTGATCTTCTCCATCTGCAGCCACTACGGAATCTCGCCTTGCTCATTATTGTTTCTTTCACGAGAGACGTTTTCGTGGATTCGGCAGTGAACGTTGTTCGAAATGGAGCCAGAAGAGACGTCGATTCTTGACCGAGTTGTCGGTGGTGCTTGTAGACTGCGACACTGCCCGAGGCCAAGAGTGAGTGTTATGTGTAACACAGCGGAAGAGTCTGATTTGTCCGTGAGGAAAGAAGGTCGGAGGCCAAGAAGTTGCAGATCCTCGAGAAGGGGCTGTGAGCGGGGCCAGATATTTAGCAGTGCGTGTGCTGGTGTAGCCACATCTTCTTCCGACGAAACTGTCAGCCATTAGGCTGTACTCGAAGGTTCCCTCTGCGGCTACGTCCTTGACGTACGGCAGATGTTGATGAGCTCAAGGACTGGCTCGCTGAGAGCGTCCTTGATGCGAATGTACTGTCGGTTCAATGTGGTCGACCTGTGTGCCATCGATATCGTAGACTACGCGTTTCATGTATTTTAGCAGGAATTGTCATGAGAAAGAAATAAAAAGCACGACATATTCTTACCTCGGTGCAAGCAGATAAAAATGAGAAGTTGCAGGACGTAAGTTCTCACGCCACACTTCTTCTCTTCAACCTTCACGCGCACGGTACTAGCACTGTCCTAAACCTTCACCGGGGCACGACAGGATTGTAGGGATTGAAGATTTGGATAGCTGGTGTCAGTAGATGATTGGATCCCTCGAGTGAGTCCAATACTATTCGTGTTGACTGGTAATCTAACGTGCATTCAGACACGGAAGATACCTGTGTCGAAATTACTTGCTTCGATCTCAGCTACGTTGGCATCACATGCGATAACTATGGGCGAACGATGATGCAGGAGGGTGACTGTCAGCTGGTGTGGCGACTAGTATTGGTTTGGTGTAGTGCGTCACCTTCTTAACTCGTTCTGAATCTTACACTCATTCTCCTATCTAGATATGATTTCATAGTTCGACGCAAGAAAATCTGACGATATGCGCCCACTCAAGACGGCACTTCTGTTCGAGGATAAGGAGGAGCTACCACCGTTAGGCGCGTAGGGCCATCAGTCTCTCCGCCGTCCCGATGGTCTGCGCGTTCGGCGGAGTGGTACAGTGCATGACTCAATCTCGAACAATCCCTCTACGCGCTTAGATTCATCGTTCAACGTTGCAATGTCGCCCCGACGATGTTCGGCGCTATATGCTATATGCTGGACCTTCGATATTTCCTCACCTCCCAGATAATTATCGAAACCACCACTTGCCAAGCGACAACATCTGGCACAGACTCGCTATCAGCAGCTCGACCACTCCCACGCGTCCCTCCATGCTAACCTCCAACCCTACGGCACCAGAATCACCCCAGCGACAAACTCTTTAGCCCCGGAAACGTCACCAAAATACAAAACTGGAGATTTTTGTCCGGATGTTCCATCTTCGGTCCATTCTTCGACCTCCTTCCCTCCCTTGCATCTCTCGCCTACGATCCTTTGCAACCACCTCCATCGCCATAGGCAGGAACAACAAAGAAACCGGGCTCTCATCCTCTTCATGATCTGATGGACTCCAGCTTCCCCCAGCACGCGTCGACCTCGTAATACACAATCATTGATAATTATACGCATTTTCTCCTGAGATTTGCTTTGCGTTGCTCACAGTACTCTGAATGAGACTCCGCTTGACTTTGTCAAGGGCGAGTATGCAGACAATGGTTTGGGGACGATAGTCGGCGTGTGATGCGAGTCGGACGTTTTCATGCGAGGGACGCGGAAGGAGCTTGCAGATGGGAAATGGGAGGACATCCATTACCGATTCGTTATCGGTGCGTTTGTTTCTTCTTTCTCTGAATTTTCTTGCTAACTTACAAACAGGCGTTCACCCGTACGTTCTACGAATCCGATTACGGCTCTTGTCGAGATAATTTACACTCGGATGTGAACAAAATCGTATACTCCTCCATGAAATCCGAGATTCTCAAGGCACTATCGCATCCGTCACGCTTCGGGCTGGATGAGATCGGACTCGACCACTAGTACATGCTCCCGCCACCAGACGTCCAACAAACAGTATTCGCCGAGCAGCTACGGATAGCCGTAGATCGTGATCTACCCATATACGAGGAGCAGAAGAAGACACAGAGAGAATCATGAAGGAAGTCGTACCCAAGGACCACCGAGTATGCCTATCTAAACCATCTACCCTCTTTTCAAGCTAACATTTATCTCCAGGTCCACCTTCACTGCTTTGCGTTCGACCTCAGCCTACTAGAGTACTTTCCACATCCCCGCATGGGCATCGTCTGCTACATCTGCTATGCATCAAACCTCAACATTGCCAAACAATGTCGGCCATCAATGACAAACGGATCCTGCTGGGGAGCGATGCCCCGTCCGTGGTTCTGGCGAAGGTGCATGGCGCTCTTGAGTCGAGGTTGCCGTTCTCCCATCCACCAATGACGGCAGAGTTCTCGGCGAATATTCTGGCGAGGAGTGGGATGCAGAGCAGGTATTGGACGTGTCGAGGAAGGATATATGGTATTTGGGGGCTGTCTAGTGGTGGAGGGCACAAGCGGTGACCTGACCTCTGAGATGGTATATATTTCCGTCATCGCCTTGTCTTGCCTTTTTCTAACTTTTCACAGAATGCAGCAACTGATTGTGCTGGTGGAGAGCATCGTGTATTCTGCTGCTTGGAGAAGCATGACAACTCTACACGCGCGCGTGAATTTTGTCCAGGGATTCGAATCGACCTTGCCTAGGTATAGGCGACACACGCCCGGCTTACCGAACCTTGGACTGCTTCCCTCCTGTGACATTGTCCTCGACAGCTCGCAACCCATTTGCTCGTCGATGACGCTCGCGGTCCCTCCATCCCCAACTTGTCACCCTCTGGCTGACCCGCCTCATCCCTGACACTCAGTACAGAATCACGCGTCTCTCATCGTTGTTTTTTTGGCGAGAGACGTTTACGGGGATTCGGCAGTGAACGTTATTCGAAGTGCAACTAGAAGAGATGTTCTTTCTTGACCGTCCGTCCTTCTTTCCTCACGGGCAAGCCACACCCCTCCGTTCCTACACAGAACACGGACTCTAGGCCTCGGTCAGTCTACAAGCACCACTAACAGTGGCGAAGAAGGTGCAGATCCTCGAGAAGGACATCGATGGAAGCCATATGGTGAAACTCGAAGTTCCCTTCTGTGATGTACGGCAGATGTTGATAAGCTCGCGGACTGGCTCGCTCGTCTGGGTACGAGTATTTTGTCAGTTCGTGTTCGCGAGTCATCAGTGTCGTAGACTACGTTTCTCCTTGTTACTTCTAGGAGATATTCCAGGAGCAAGCAATAAATTCCTACCTTGTTTAAGTATACGTAAAGCGGAAGAACGTCTGGCGTTCTCACGCCACACTTCTTTCTCTTCAACGATCTTTATGGTACCAGCACCATTCTCCCGAACCTTCTGAACCTTCCCTGGGACATGACGCGATTGCAAGGATTGTGAATTTCTGGTCTTAGCAGATGATGGGTTTCTTCGAGTGAGTCCAGTATTATTCGTGTCGACTGGTGATTTATTATTCATAGTACATCCAGACATGGCCGACAATAGCTATTGTTATTCTACGTCGTAACTTCCCGTCCCTCGATCTCAGTATGGGTTCGGATACCCAGGAATGTGACTATGAATGTTGGAATCGGGTGTGAGGGAACTCAACGGTATATCGACTGACGATGGTGCTGGTGCGTCAGCTTCGTACCTCTCCATTATTTTAGATGTGGTTCGTCTCGCTCAGGTCCAGTCGATATGCGCCCTTTTTGTCCTACGCCGATTCTCTACATGTCCTCTCCCCACTTGTGAACCGTGTTGCCGATATTCCTCACTACATCTACTGGATATCGACTGGATGCTACGTAACCATGGTGCTACCATGACATCTACATGTCGAGGGACGTCATCTGCGGACTCGTCAACCACTCCTACGCTTTCCCTCCGTGCTCACCTCCACAATCCCTCAGTCTCCAGACGTCCTATCACCTACCTCGAAAGTACCACCGGACCCCGCCGCAGCATAATCACCCCAGCGTCGACCTCTTTAGCCCCGAAAACGTCGCCAAAGTATCCAAGAACCCTGGGAGAGTATCGACGTGCACATATTCCAAACGCAGAGCGGTTATTCGGGACGCTGTAGCAGCGAGTGTTTTCTCGTACAATGCCAATCCTCCAACGGAGAGCGCCCACGTCTAGGGAGGTTCGATTCGGTAGCGAGCCAAGGATCGTGGCAGGGCAGGACCATGTGGTTGTGGTCGATGTTCTTCATGATGCATCGTGTCTTGTGGACGCTGTTGCCTTATGTTCCAGAACCTAATCCTGCGCTCTTGATGACTCTGTGACCAAGAAACCGCCAGTAACACTGTCAGCATTGTGTTAGGTCTTCGACGTTCCCTCCTGTTCCATCGCCCTGGTCTTCCCGCGTATCCCTTGGGAACAATGTGATGATAGCGCCACCGAGAAAATGATCCACATCTAGCCGCGGACAAATCGTCTTCATGCACCCCGCCATGATCACTTCCAACTCCTCAACCTCTAGCAACGGCTCGCCTGCCCAGGAAGCATCACCGGACATGGCGGCGCCATACTTGACACCCAACACTAACCTCAGTCTCAGTGATGTCGCTATGGCTACCTTTTCTTCTATCCCTGTCTCCTCCACGATACCTACATTCTGCGTTGAACTGGCGTGACCTGTACAAGCCAACGACATATGGGAGGAGCGGGAGGAACTGCCTAGCTGAGTTGGGCCGGGAGGGATACTCGATTGGTATTCAGCTGAAGAGGTGTACATACATCCAGGAATTGCGGCTCGAAAGGACGACATAGACGAACCTAATTGTGGTGACGTGCGGATAGAGTAAAGCATGCCGGAAGGACGTGGCACCGGTAACGTCGCAAGCCGTGGTATGGGATGTACGCTTTACAGCGGCAAGAGGTGCGGATGAATGGATATTTGCTGCTGGGAAATGAAACAGTACGTTTTCTTTTAGTTTGCGCCCCCTTTTCCGTACTTATGCAGGTGCTACAGTTGTTCAAGAATGTGCGATTCTGGTATCCTCCACCGCTAGCTCACGAGGCGGGAAACATCAGTCTTAGGAAAGTAGATTGCGAGGTGTTATGATCAGAGGATGTTGCGAAGGCTACTACTTATGAAGCACTATGTTCGTCTCTTGCAACCAGATATATAACCATTGTCCGTGCAACAGGGCCCAGTCTAGAGTAAAAGAAATACATCCTTGTCAATTCCGAAGGGTCGTTGCTGTCTTTGGAACATAGGGAATGCCTACCAAAATGGTATGTCAGACCTAAGTAAGGAAATTAGGAAGACGTGATACGTACTGCCGTTCTCTTCTCACAGCAAAAAGCCGACTTCTTCCTCGTCTCATCTATGAACGACATTCCTTTGAAACATCGGCAATGTGGGACGATATGATTAAATTATAAGGCCCGTAGGTATCCGCCCCTGATTTGGCTGAGAACTAGGTGGTGGGTGCCGAAGAGACAGTTATAAGAAAATATAGTATCCCCGAACAGGCGGGTCAATAGCCGCTATGATTGATGACGCTGCTTCCACATTCACCAAGCTCCCGACTTTCAGTGGACGTCTCCGGGTCTGCAGCTCGTTCTCTCCGTTGTCACGAAGGTTCGGAAGAAGGAATTGAAGGGATACTTCATCTTTCCGGGTTGTGTGACGGGCTGCTAAGCCAATATCAGGACTTGCTCAGGTGCTTAATAGCGGAGATAAACCGTTTGCAAGATGAGGGCGGATAATGGAAGTTTTCGCGGAGGTAGTCGTCGGAGGGGAACGCGAAAGCGTCGTGTCGTGTGGCATCCAGATCGAACATGCATCGCGCAGAGGTGGGTGACGAATAAAGGACTATACAATAAACCAGCCTCTTGACTGGCTCGTCCGATCGGATTCTTCGACTATTGTCCCTATATCTCAACGATTATGATACGCCCAGTCATGCATTCGGAGGGATATGTGTGAATTTAGAGGCGAGGTAGACGAACGGAGCCGGGTCTAAAAGTGCACACCAAGATTTGCGGGTTGAACATGGGAGCGGGACGATGTGTATGAAGCCAGAAGCAGTGGCTGACCCTTCAGCTTCAACGGTAGCTCACAGTTAGGGACGACGTAAACCCATAGTGATTGGATTGTGTGCTGTGGTTACCAGTCGTCGTGAAAGGAACATCAGTGCAGCGGTTGGGAGGAGGTCGTCATGGATATGAAGCACTTTTCTTCTTCGTCGTCATCGGGTATAGTATCGACGCCCAGAAAAGAGAACGTGTTGGAATGAGAATCCGTACCAGTCGAGTACCGATTTGTACGGGTACATGAGTAGGTCGATGAACATCAACAATGCAACAACAGCATTCTGCCCAGCCCCGACAACATTCAAATGTAACAGGCCACACCCTGTTTCGACAACATGTTCGTGAGCGATATTGATAGCTAATGGTCTCGTTCAGCTAAGACGGCAGTCGTTCAGCGCGTTGGTATTCGTATTGACAGTTGTTGTGATCCTTCTAAGCCTGATGGAAGAACATGTCAGGTCCAGACATGAAAGCCAGAACGACAAGATACGCACCATACGCCTCTTTACAGCAAAGATAGCACCTTTTGACTCTACGATGCATCCTCTGCTGAAGTAGTATCCCCCATCCCTTCAAGACATCCAAGATCGAAACATGCCTTTGCAGGAAGGAAAGATGAGAGCAGTGATAATCTCGGGGTCCCGCCAACCTCTGAATGTGGCAACGCGCCACACGAGTCCTCAGAGAATGTAGTCGATAGTTAAGTGCAAGACAAGCCGGGCAAGCTAAATCTTGATGTACAGAAGTCCTCGAAGGGCGAGGAAGAATAGCCCAGGACAGTGATGCGACGAACCATTCCGTCTCAGTCTGGCGTTAAAAGTTTGGAGTTTCTTGTTCATTTGCAAAGCGAAACGATCCCTAAGGCGCGCGTGCATGCCTACCGGCTTGACCTGCATTCATTGCTCTGCTTTTGCCATGCCGGACCAATTCGGAACTTCAGTGCCCTGGTTGCAGGATCGTGATCTTATCGACATCATGAGCAAAGAAGGAAAGAAAAAAGAAAGGCGCAACGCACCAGACCTCCGCATCGTCACCCAAATCCCAAGTAGAGCCTCCTTCACTATCAGCCACTGTAGTGCAATGACCGCGATACACACACGATCGTCGATGGTAATAATGGCGCCGGGATGAGGGTGAAGAAGGGTGACGTGGAAATCTGCAACGTCCTTTCCAGATCTTATTCCGCGGCACTTGTCTTCCTGGTGCTGCCTCGCCTCGAGACACGTAAATCTCCAACAAGCTCCTGTATCATCTCCTTTCCATGAAAACACAGCTTGACATCCGCACCGGTGTTAACACTCATTTTTAGCCCGCCCATACGACCTGCCTGCTGAAGTTGGAACACATAGCCAAGAGTTCCTTGAACCCGAACGTGCTGCTGGTGTCACGGTTACGTCGATTCACGACGCGTGTGGGGTGTGTGCGATAGTCCATTCGGTTTGATGCGAGGAAGCGCGCATATTGGTTGCTGAATTGTTCCCGTTCCAAAGCGATGCCCCGCTCCTCCCGCATGTCGATGGGTTAGTACAGTCTGTCCGAATCGAGCGGGAACGTGGGTTCAAACTCAAAGGGTGGAAGGGGCTTGATGATGATGAACGTCGTCGGCGAGCTCCTATTGGAGACGGCGCGCAATACATAATGGGTATCGCACGACCTAGTTCTGCCTACCCCCCTCGCGGCCGAACCTAGCCTTGATAGACATACGTGCTCCCTGTTGAAGGAATCTGTCACGCGGAGTGCCGGCTGACACTGATAACACTTCGATAACCTCGCGCCACTGGACTTTGGTATCCTCCCATGGTTCGGGGCACTTTAGCGACGTCTCGGAGACTGAAGAGACCTGCATTGGGTGGGATCATGACGCCACCGAGTCCAGCAGTGAAGGTGAGTAGGGAGGGAAGTCTGAAGGGGGTGAAGTTCCTGATAGCGAGTCCGTAGATGATATTGTTTGGCTGGGTGGGAAATTTTGTACTGCCGATGGATCATGGTAAGTTATTGTTCTCCGTCGTTCCGAGCACGGTATCAAAGTTAATTGATGTCCGCTGTTAGACGTGCGCCATTTAGTGTCGCTCTAGGTAGCGCTGTCGTGCCATTCCTTTCTCAAGGTGATGCGCTGGTGGGATAGGGCGAGGGGAAAGGAGAGAACATCGAAGATTGAGGATATAGTGCTGATAGTGAAACATTATAGTGTCGGTAACGCGTTCTGGGACACGGTCGACATAGACACGTTTCAGAGGTTCGGGAAGGCGGGATAGGCGAAGCAAGAGTGCAGGACTCTTGTTTGACGGAGGTTATATTACGCCTTCCGTAGGCCATTTGATATTCACGGGTGGTATCAGGAAAGATGGCGTCTGTTGGTGACCAATATACTTTCTTGTGTCGATTCGAGGCGTCCATGTCGGGAGGTGGTAATGATATGACACGACACATACTGAAAAGTAGTGAATACGACAGTCAGAAAGAGAAGAAAGACTGACGCACTAGACAAAAACGGGTCCAAACACGAACACGACCCGCATCACGTCACCACACCGTCCATGGATACTTCTAAATTCACCAGGCAGACATCCCTGCTCGGATCCGTCAGCTAGGTCTGCGAATTATGCTCATGCGGCACACGCATGTATGAGTGTACGCACTCAAGAAAAACGGTCACACTCCGGTATTGTCCAAGTCGTAAATACACGCCATGGTGTAGCACTCGCGAACGGTAAAAGCTTGGGAACGGTACCACAGTATGCGAATAATCAAGCCGACCTGTAAGGAGAGGCAGGAGATGACTCGGAAAGAAGAAGCGTAGCGTGGGAATGCTTTGACGTCATCTCCAAATCTGATCCCACTTTCTAACTTTTCCCCGAGAAATCAGAACTGAAGCATCTGCAGCCTCTGGAGGGACGTCTATGCCAGTATCACCTCCCACTTGGGTACCAGCTCGACTAGAGCCAGCTCCTCCAGCACGTGACAAATTCGTCGACATTTCTTAACGGCCTTGGCCTTAACCCCGGTGTTCCCAGATCCGTGTTATCTACCCACGAGAACGGCGACGCGTAGCCTAGTCAAGAGTCTGGTACCGCAGTCATGTGTTGATTGAATTCCCTTGGCAGCAGTAAATCTCCCTCTCAACATGTCTCTCGCACCTGCTTGAAAAGACGTTCACCTTGGATTCTGTTAAGAATCAGGGTAATTTGGCTAATACACGAGTTACTGAATACTCGAGTAAAACCTAAGTTGAGAGCGAGGATGTCCAAAAGCCGAGTTCCAACCACCAAGAGGGATCCGTAAGGGTGCTAACAAGCGCTAGGCGTAGTTAACGAGGGCGTCAGCAAGCGCTAGGCGTAACTGACTGGGTCTCCGAAAGGCGCTAGGCGTAGTCGGAAAGCAATTGATTGGCAAGCGCTTGGCGTAACCGATCAGAGATGCTTAGTTCACACAATTAAGTGGACTTCGAAGATGAGTAAAATTAGCTTAAGAGATCCTAATACAACAGTAAAGACAATATTTATATGCTACTAGTAAGGCATTGAGTCATTATAATTCTACAATATTCCGTAGTATTCTAGTATCAGCAAGAAGAACAGAGAAAGTAAGAGAAAATAGTAGAAAGTATCAGTAAGCCGAGGTCAAGACCGAGAAGGCCGAGAGTAGGCATGTGTTGACTCATGTACAGGCTGAAAAATACACGAGATCCATAACATGGCCCCCCCAGTCTACATATGCTGGAACGAGGGGCACCCCAAGTGGATGAAAAGAATTAGAACAAGTAAATATCATAGATTTGAATGGTTCTGCTGATTGTGGCCATAACTTCATGAATCCTGATATCAAAGCGATTCTACACTCTTCACATAGGAGCACAAGGTTAATCGCCTTCGGAAATGGCATTACCGACAGGCCTTTTGCTGTTACATGAGCCGATGAGTCGAAGATTGGGTAAATGACAAACTTGTTCCGCAATAACAAGCATGTATATGGGTAAATACCTAAGGGGAACATTTGCAATGGATTAAACCTTATTTGATGCCTGGATAGGTACAAACAAAGCCCGGACGATACGCGAATAGAGGAAAGCTTCGTGCGATGAAGCGGAGAATCGGCAAGAGCCGGTTCCTCGGAGCAGTTTCCAAAACGGGAATGATATTGATGATGGGCCCCATCATTTTGCCGTCTAATCCATTCCACCATCGTTCCATTCACGCTCGAGATTGTGTCCACCTTTATGCATTGCCTTGAGGTCTCAGTATCATTCACTTCATTCCCTGATGTATGTAGGCATCGCCTTCGCCCAATGACTTCTGTATCAACCTCTGGTAGTTGCGCAGTCGGTGCTAGGCCTGTTAAATGCGCTAGAAGACTGGCTTCTTTATGTCCAGAAGGAACGATGGGAGAGAATGCAATATGCATGATAAAATTGTCACCGGGTACGTCGTTTGAACTAGTGATGAGCCGAACACGATGTTTTAATTGTTTGTTTTCAGTGTTCTCTGTCAAATTGGGTTTCCATGATACTGTATTGAGTGCGACACTCTGTGGACGCTCTGTGAGTAGTCGCCTTAACTCTTGTTTAATCGCTGCGACTTCTGCTATCATTGACAAGTGGGGGTAAACTGAAAACCTAGGGAAACTGATTGATTCCGGAATAAGCGGACAAAGGAATTCCAATCGAGGCGAGCACCGAATCCTTGAGACATGCTGCTGTCGATCCCCGAGCCCAGTTGTAAAGTCCCAGTCCCATAGGACAGTAGGAATTGCCGGAAATTGAGGTTTCTGGAATTTACGCAAGTCTCGACAGTCCAGGAATTCTCCAAGTTCCTTGTCTGCAAGAATGAAAGTGAAGCTGGGAAGGCAATGGAGGAATGCCATGATGAGTTCGTGTCTGGTGGTGATGTTGAACTCTTTGGAGGTGGCATTTGGAAATGTCTGCGCCTTAATTCGGATAGCAATTCGATGCGGATTACGCACTGTCCTAATACCCCAACTCTTTGGTGTGATGTGTGGTCGTCGTTTCATTTTTCGGCTTCCCCTACAAATCCTGTACAACCCTTTACCAGGAATACGAACAGGACTGGTTGTATTCCAGTTTCCTATTGCTGTTAGAGAACAGCAGATGTTTGAAATATGAAAGACAGAGAGCCGGTAGATGAGGCGACAGGGTAAGTCTTCTCCTTGCTGCCAACGAGTTTCTCGGCTGGCGTGTTGTTCGAGAAATAGGACACATTGCCTCATCAGGGAGTGAACACGGGTCGATAATCTAGCGCGGTATCTTAGATATCGGACCTCTCCTTGTACTGGATAATGTTTCAAATATCGACGAAACATTTGAGCCCAATGACATGTCTCTGGTTTAACGTTTATACTAGATTCAAAATATTTTCTGTCACAAGATGTGCCAGAAGGTCGTTTGGGAGATGCATGCATGGAAGACGGTTCCATCGTGCGGTGATAGCAAGGGGAATCGGCTTTCGTAGTTCCCGGTTCGGAGTTGTTTCCAAAATGGGAATGATATTGATGATGTTGATCGCCGCGGCCCTCCTTTCGCTGTGTTATCAATACCAATATTGGTTCGTTCACCCTCGAGACTGTGCCCGGCTTTGAGTCCTTCCACCATACATAAGAGTATCCTGCCTCATTGTCCAGGATAATGTTGATTTCGACCATGCCTTGTATGTTGATACCCGGATCCCGAATCTGGTCATCAAGTTGCCTCATGGGCCCGGTGAGCTGATTTCTTTTCTGATGGTGTCGTTTTCTATTGGTCGGGAATTCTAATGGTATGCTTATGGCTTCATGGTCGCTTCCTGATGCGTGAATGATGCGTCGTCTATGTTGAGCGATACTCAGGCTCGTATGAACTTCCGTTTGTGCCACGGTCGGCGCTACGTCTGTCGAACACATTAGAAGGCCAGTTTGGGAATTTCCGAAAGGAGAGATGCGAGATACTCCAATACGCATGATAAAAATGTGGAAGGGTACGCCGTTTGAACTAGTGTTGAGCTGAACACTCCGATGTAATTGGTCGCACTCCGTCTTCTCTGGCATGGCCCTCAAAGACGTTGCATTGAACTCGACACTCTGTGGACAATTTGTGAGTAGTCGCTTTGAATCTCGTTCAGTCGCCGTGGCTTCCAGCATGATAGGAATCGTGGGAGCGTTTGTCGAGGATGCAAAGGATACACTAAGAAATCGGTTATCACGACCGGCAGCCGGCTTTGGTTTCGCAAGTATCACAATGTATTTTTTGGCTCGGATATCCCCTGGTACACTTCGATGTTTCGAACGGCAATAAGCTTTCTGGGTCCGGCGGTGTGACTGGAGCTTGGTGAACTGACTTGTGTCAAATAGGACATAAACTTCGTTTCGATGCTCCCCATCAATAGCCGATGCAATAGGTGTTTCAACTTCCATTCCGTGTCTTCCGAGATGTTGCTTGTGCGACCGACTTTCAGTTTGCCTGGTCCGTTCTATAACCTGCCTATTGAGGTTGATCTTCTTGCGAACCTTTGGCCATATAAAAACCATCTTAAACGCCTTATGGAATGCGAAAGCCATATCCAATCCTGAATCCATGATGACTCTTGGGATGTCGAGATGAAAGTAATATACCCTGGCTTCAACCGTCATGGTTTTCTTTCGGAAGGAGGTATAGCAGAATAGTGGCCGTGTTTCTTCTAGCGGTAAATTTGGGCGCCGACGATTTTCTCTCTGTCGCTGTCTCTCCACCTTGTCAATGTGACGTCTCACTTTACGTGGTAACCCCTTCTTGGAAAATGGTATACATGGTGTATTCGAAGCAATTCGGAAGGTGCGAACCTCATTTTTGGTCGGTGAGTGAAGGATTGGAATACCGGTGTTATGATTAAGGGTTGGAGTATTGTTGAATTTGTTCTCGCAACTAACTCTCGTGTCCGGGTTGCTGCTGCAAGGAGGTACATTCATTGGTTTGAATGTGGTGTCAAAACGAACGCTAGTACGCTCCGAGTGAACGTAGCATGCAGGGATTCGTTGGTTATATGAAGATCGACAAGATACAAGTCGGTCTCCATTGTCTCCACCTTGACCTGAATCAGGATTGCTAGGAGAGCATCCGTGATAAACGCTCTTGCCTACTAGCGCCTTGTCCAAAGAAGGATTTCTTTTATACAAGTCTGCAGGGATCTGACCTCGATAGTCTGCCGTATGCAAATTCTCGTGTCTCCCTCGTCTTTCAGCGGCCTGCAAGTTACTTGGATGCCTTTCCGTGTCTCTTGTAGCAGCATAGTGTACTCCCTCCCCACTCAAGTCGGAGGCTGAGGCCTGACAAGAGGTCTTCGACTTGATAGGGTTAGAATATGTTATGGGAGGAACAACAGGAAGGTAATAATCCCTTTTCTCGAGACGGGCTCTGTCAGCACTACGCTGAACGGTTTCCAGGAGATTTTCGTCTAGGTATACGCGTGTCCGAAGCTTACTCCAGTCATGGACAAAGTCAAGCATATGAAGGAAGTGCTCAACACGAATGCGATACTGCAAGGCATATATCTCAAAGTCGTTGGCTGTCAAACCTTTCGCGGTGTTGATGGCCCATGTAGGTACTTTAAAATCTGAATAACCAAATGAATTGAGAGACGAGGAAGCTATTGCACGGCGAGTCGTTAACCTGGTGTGAAGTCTCTGATAGATGTTCTCATCCATCTTGTAGACGACATCTTTCGTGAACGTGGTGCAGGCAAAAACGGACGTGAGAAGGCGATCTAGCATGCCTGTTTCTTCCGAGAAGGTCTCTGTGTACTGGTTATACTTCAATACACGGTCACTGGTGGTTCGTAGGTTATTCCTGAGTCTCTTGTTCTTGCTGAGCTTAAGTACCTGTATAATCCGATCCTTACGCTCCTGCAAACATGAATGTTCTGTGAAGGTAAAGAGGGGAATGCAGGATGGCCACAAGCGAGTAACCTTCCGGCTATCAGTGTTGGAAATGTCAGCTGGGTCGACTGGAAACACAAGCGGTGCTGGAGGATCTGGAAAGCCGAGCAAGTCACCAGGCAAATGCTGAGTTGGGGGAGAAGATTGCAAAGCAGGTAAATGGATTGTTGGAATGGGTCTAGGTGCAGTATTTGAATCCATTGCGAGTTGCCGTGATGAAGTGCTGAAGTGAGCAGGAGATAATGGATAATTTGATTCCCTCTACAAGGTGGTCCCAATGTGTCCACCAATGTTAAGAATCAGGGTAATTTGGCTAATACACGAGTTACTGAATACTCGAGTAAAACCTAAGTTGAGAGCGAGGATGTCCAAAAGCCGAGTTCCAACCACCAAGAGGGATCCGTAAGGGTGCTAACAAGCGCTAGGCGTAGTTAACGAGGGCGTCAGCAAGCGCTAGGCGTAACTGACTGGGTCTCCGAAAGGCGCTAGGCGTAGTCGGAAAGCAATTGATTGGCAAGCGCTTGGCGTAACCGATCAGAGATGCTTAGTTCACACAATTAAGTGGACTTCGAAGATGAGTAAAATTAGCTTAAGAGATCCTAATACAACAGTAAAGACAATATTTATATGCTACTAGTAAGGCATTGAGTCATTATAATTCTACAATATTCCGTAGTATTCTAGTATCAGCAAGAAGAACAGAGAAAGTAAGAGAAAATAGTAGAAAGTATCAGTAAGCCGAGGTCAAGACCGAGAAGGCCGAGAGTAGGCATGTGTTGACTCATGTACAGGCTGAAAAATACACGAGATCCATAACAGATTCGAGTCGCGCGTTCTAGAGAAAGGCCGTGGGATTGAAGAGATACACTGCTCGATTGGAAGGCGTGGACGTATGCCGGTGCCTGGAAACCAACACCTTGCTTTGTCGCACGAGGTAAGAACATATCCTTCCTTTCACTTCTTTCTCATGCCCGTCTCTCTCAGGATAACGTAGTCGGAGAACGCATCGTCTACGCCATCGACGGTACCCAACGATGCCAAATCGACAACATGCTCGTACTGGATCAGGATGCCCTCAACGATCTCATCGAGGACCAAACGTCGATGGGAACCTCGACTTTGGTTTATTGCTTTTGGTAGAGAACGTCAACTGTATTGGCACTGATATGAATATACAAGTGCTAGCGCTTATCCCACACTGACTACTCGTTCAATAATAAGCCTGATTAGGTCCTGAGATGGCTTCTCTTCGTACCAATCAATACGGCCGTCAGAGGTCCTCGTCTCCGTATACTAACCTCTCGAGGCCACGTCATACCTTTCTCCTGTTTGCACAAAACACCATAATGAGCCGACCAGCGTCACAGCCTTCTCTCGACCACAAGCACCACCAACAGATCTACACCTCTCCTGGGCCCCGCTCATTATCACATCAAACCACTGGGAGAAGATAGACAGCATGATCAGCGATAGATGCTTCTCTCTTGAATTGAGAGGGTGAAGAGCTGCGTTCTTGAGCGCGAATTATGCATTTGGGCGTAGTGGTTTCCGAGGCTGAGGATACGATGGAGCTGAGTGTCGCGGCAAAGCTTGTGAGTACAGTGCACCTCCAGAGATACGAAAGAAGGCATGGACAGCGTTTTGGATCTGGAAATCGTTCCTTCGCCCCTGTGCACCATGGTGACCGCAAAAGCAAAAGCCTTCGTCACTGCAGGACGGCAATTCGAGATTCCTTTATATCGTCGCTGTCGCTCAGGAACATCTGCTAGGACGATCTCAGACCGAGACGAGGTCCACGATGACACAATACACTCTTCCCTCTTTGTCTGGCTGAAGAGTTGATATCCGGCAATCCTTCAAAATATCGTTGAGCTACGACCATGAAAGATATCCATGCGAGCTTGTACATGCATCGGCTCGGTGACGACTGTACATGAGAAGTGCGAATAGAGATCTGAATAGCCGTGCTACATGCGTGGTCGCTCGAGGGAAGCAATGTACACCCGGCTACGTCGGTGCCGACTCGAAGTTGATAGTCCGATGATGATACCCACAAGATCACCTTAGTCTCAGAAGCATTTCGAAGACGGAGAAGAACCACGGTTTGGTTTTGGTGTGAGTACTAGTCAACGAAAGATCATCTTGTTGTAGGCGCAAAAGCTTCGCAACGCAACACATCGAGTGGGCGTACAATGGCAGATAAGAGATCAGCAGCGCTCGAGCATGCAGTCATGCCTGCCTGTCTGCTGATTCTCCAGGTAATACTCCGCGGTATTCGATGCTAGTCCGGGAGGAGATAATGGACATAAGGAAGCGCATAGTCGTTGTTTTGGAACCCTCGCGGTGCTGTAAAGGACGTCGTCATGGCGATAGGCATCGTTCTTCTCTCAACCCGGGGTATTATCGACGTAAGGAATATTCCAATCCCTATCCGAGACCCAGTAATGCCTACCGGAACGACATATCAGGCTTCCAGTTTAGACAGACAAATTAGGAGGATGACGAAACGAACCTCAAGTCTCCTCTCAGTGGAATCAATGTTGTCTCCTTCTCTTATCTCTTACAGTATCGATGACCAATACATCGGCAAAGTAGAGCGATATGCTACGTAGCATATCAATCCAACTCGTTGGAGTTTTTGTGGCCTACGTGCATCGGTAGTGGACAAGAGAATGACGGGCGTAAACACGAGTGACTGGTTTGGTATCCTTATCGTCTTGTACATAGACCAGTGGTTGCTTCGGGCTTGAAAAGAATGGTAAAGCTGAATCGTTACTGGAACTGATGACGCCGATACCAACAGCAGCATCTTTAGCTCAGAAAAGATTTGTGTCGCATTACGGTTAAGCGAGAAGATTGTTGGTGGCAAGACTGAGACGGAAACTTAAGCATGGGCAAGGGTACGAGAGCCGGCAGCAAACCAGCTGACAGTGATTGTGATGTTCAGAGGTTTCTCTCTCCGTCTCGTCCTTCCCACCTAGGAAAGCTATAAACCCAAACACCACAGCGTCATCATTTCGTGCATGCACCAATGTGTAGGTATAGCGAGCATGGCGGTATAAGGAATCATTCCCGACATTCGACATGCAGTCTGTTCGTACGTGCGTCGTCGATGCGGTCACTGTCTATCAAAATTGAGACTTAGTTTACAAGGAGATTCTGAAGGTGACTAACCTGTATACCACGACGTCTTACGAGCTTATCGGATATATCATCCTCTTTAGCCTGGCGCAGGTATCCCGGAAAACCAACACCCGATGCTTGAAGATGAGGGGAAAATTTGTAACGCTCGCCAGACCTCTATTAACGAGTGGGTCAAGAAGCGGCGCCTGGACGATTGGCGACGTAAGCAGAGTGAAGAGAGCAGTACCGCAATCAGATCGGGCGAGCTCTGTCGCAATGTGAGGGCGGCCTATTGTACTAGCATGCGAGCTTTACCCTGTTCAGGCCCTGATCATTTCGTCAGTCCCTTCAAAATCCACTAGAGCTGCGTCAGTCTACATCTGTCCAGATGTTCAGGTTTTAACTCCCTATTAGAACCCGCGGACGTATCAAAGCCTCAGTGTCCAGGATATTCATCCCACTGTTGTTCCATACCAACCTCCGTTGTGTATGGATCGTAAAGGCAGCGGCGTCCAAGTTGGTGGAGGCGTAGGAAGAAGCGTCGATTCCATGATGCTGACGAGGACTGCTGCCGAGCAATTTACTATTCATAAGGGAGTATCTCGATGCTTCGCGGGGCGCAAATGTGGTAGACCATGCTGCTTTGTTTCCGCCGGATACAGATTGCCAGAAAGGGATCACGTTAGCTCTCCGACCTCTGCCCCCCCCCAACGTCCTGTGAAAAAAACCCCGGGGTAAGCACCGCGATCAAGCCCAGGAGCTCAGAGGATGATCCGGACACGCAGATGGTTGATAAAAGGATGGAGGGTACTGATGAAGAACCGAGTTGCCATGAGACGGCAGGTGTTTTAGAGATGATGAATTGTCGAGTCAGGTTGTGAGACCACACACACGTCTAAGGGCTTGAATATTGTAATTCCTGGAGGGTATCTCTGAGATAGAGTGTGGCAAACGCGTCGGGGTGTTAGGATGGGAGAAAACGTCGGAGATTGAGCCAGAGGGTGACAAGATAGAGATGGAGGGACCGAAAACGTAATAAATGAGCAAATGGGTTGCAAGCTGTCGAGGACGACGACACAGGAGGAGAGCAGTCCAAAGTGCAGCAAGCCAGACGTGTGTTGGCTATACCTAGGCAAAGTCGACTCGAATCTCTGGACCAAATTCAGACACGTATGGATAGTAAATGGTGGGTTTGTCATGCTTCTCCGGGCGATATGCTCCACCAGCACAATCAGTCGCTGCACCCTGTAAAAAAGAAGTTAGAACAAAGCAAGACAAGGTGATAATGGAGATATATACCATTTCAGAGGTCAGGTCACCGCTTGTGCTCTCCGCCCTTGTCTCAGCCTCTAAATGTCATATATCCTTTCTCGGCACGTCCAACACCTGCTTCGCATCCCACCTCTCGCCAGAATATTCGCCGCGAACTCTGCCATCCGAGATATCAACAGCGAATGAGAACAATTTCGACTTGGATGGTTTGCGCTCCAACGCGCTGTACACCTTCATTTAGCACGTTGGTTTCCAGGAGGATCGGCCTGTTGTCATTGACCGACATTTGCATCTGCTTGGGGAGCTCGGCGTGTTGAGTTAGCATTGTCGACATCGACAGAGAAAAAGGACGTGTCCGGTGTTCCTCGTACACGATTTCCTTCATGATTATCACTGCAGCCTCTTCTTCTCATCGTATATGCATCGACAGCCATGCATAGCTGCTGGTAAAAACGTGTGATAGTATTCCAGTCCGATCGGATGCGACAACGCTGTGCGGGCAATGTAGCATCGTGGTATTCCAAACGGGTCCTTGGATACAGAGTCGTGGCGCGCGCGCTGGATCTGGCCCTGCGCGTGCAGTTCAGCGCATAAACATTGTGGTTGAAGCACGACAGCGTCCGCAAGACATGATAAAGGACATCGATCACTACCATCCTCGTCTCGGTGCCGAATGTAACTTAGACATGCACGCCTTCCGCTGAACGATCGTCTCATGCGTGGGATCGTTCAAGCAAAGATTCGCTGCATAGCATCCCAGATAACCCTCTCTCCATCTGGATTAAGTGCACTTCGGTACGCTCCCAGGATTCTTGGGTGTTTTGATGACGTTTACGGGGCCAAAGAGATCGACGCTGGTGGTGGTGATTATGGCGCCGCGGGGTCTGGTGATGATCTCAGAGAAGGTGATAGTTCCGAGTTGTAGGTGAGTATGGAGAGACAGTGAGGATGGTCAAGTTGCTGATAGTGAATCTGTGGGTGATGTCGCGTTGAAGAAGCTGAGGGTCAAGAGGCGCAATAGGACGTAGGATTTAGAACTGGATAGCGTGTGGGTGAATCCATTGAGGGAAGGAAGGGTCGTGATAATCGGTATCACAGTCAATCGATGTCTGCCTTTGGATGCGCACCAATCAAAGTCGATATCAGTAACGCCGTTCTCGGACTGTTGTCCCAAGGTAATGGGAAGGAAGGAACACCGAAGATCCAGCGTGTCATTTGCCACGGAGTCGTGGTGCGAGCTGGATAGGCGCGTTGAAGTGCGTAGGTGTCGTGGTATCATCGGGACGATAGACAACTTTGAGGATCCTACGCGCCTTGGCTCTCGAATAGAAGAACCGTCTTGAATGGGGTCAACCTACGCAACCATATCTAGATAGGAATGAATATAAGACTAAGAACGAGGTAAGAAGCTGACGCACAAATCAATACTAGTCACCGCACCAACTAATAGTCACCCTCCTGCATCATCGTTCGCCCATATTATCGCAGGTGATACCGACATAGCTGAGATTGAAGCAGGCAATGTTGATGTTGATGTCTGCCGTGCACGTTGAATTAACGGTCAACACGAATAGTATTGGACGCACTCGAATAATCGAATGATCTACTGACACCAGCTATCCAAATCCTTCATCCTTGCGATCCCATCGTGTCTCGGCGAAGGCTTAGGATGATGCTAGTACCGTGCGCGTGAAGGTTGAAGAGATGTGTGGCGTGAGAACACGTCCTTCCGGGCATCAGCTTCTCATTCTTATCCGCTTGCATAAGGTCCTACCTTTTATTTCTTTCTCATGACGCTCCTTGCTAAAACACACGAAACACTAGTGGTAGTCTACGACATTAATAGTGCACGAGACAACCACGTTGAACTGATAAAATGCATCGACATCTACCGTACATCAAAGACGTAGCCACAGAGGGGACTTTCGAGGTTGGCCTGATGGCTTCAGCGGAAGAAGATGCGGGCTACACCAGCCCACCCACTGCCAAATATCTAGCCTCACTCACAACCTCTTCTCGAGACTCCACATCTTCCTCGCCTCCATCCTTTTTCCTCCAAGAGCAAGCCGTGTCCATCTGCTATTACATAGAACACTCTTGGTATCAGGAACTGTTAGAGTCTACAAGCACCGCCGACACCCGGTCAAGAAACGACGTCTCTTCTGCTTCCGCATCGAACGACGTTTATTACCAAATGCTCGAAAACGGCTCTCGTCAACGAAACAATGTTGAGCTAGACGCAATTCCAATTCCATAGTGGGTGGAGATGGAGAAGGGTAGCACAGGTGCAGAGCGACAAGTTGGGGATCGAGGAATACGCGAGCATATCGACGAGCAAGTGAGTAGCGACCTGTCGAGGACAACGTCGCAGGAGGAAAGCAATCCCAAGTATGGTACGCTCTGGTTTCCCTTGCCTCGAATACTCATCAAAGTGCTTCGTAGTGGCCAACACAGTCTGGGTCGCAGAGCATCGGTGCACAAGGGAATCACAATTAGCACGCTTTCTCCGTGGAAGAAAGAGGGACGAGTTTGTCACAGATGAAGAGGACAAAGATCAACATCAGGGAATGTAGTAAAGCGTTAACGTAATCGAGCGAGGGAGGGTCGCAATGTCATAGAGCCGTCGAGAAGGTGGAAGGCGGTGTCAGGTGCGGTGAGTTCTGGGGTTCTTTGCCACGAAATTAATCCATGCTCATCAAGTGCTTCGTAGGGGCAAACGTGGTATAGGGCACAGTACGTTGGTGCAAGAGGGAACTACAACAGGTGTATGAAAGCGTGTAGACATCGTATTCGGAGCTTTGTAAGGATGCCACGGAGGCTATGAAACGATGTGCTTCTCTCTCTTGTAATGAGGTATATCGTCGATGTTCGTAAAAGAAGGTTTGTTTGAGAATAGAGACGTCTCTTTCCTGGGTTTAGGAAGACATGGAAAATGCCTACCGGAACGAGACATCAGATTTAGGCAAGACGTGCAATGAATGCAACACGTACCGAAGATATCTATCTAGCAAAGTAACACAACCTCTCCTTCACCAATAGCTAGATGGGTGATATTGATTCCTCCGAAATGCTCGCGAGGTAAAGCGATACACTTGATACACCTAGTCTTGCAATGCGTCCGTCCAATCTGGCTGATATTTATACGTGTATCGATTCGGTTGACGATGGTGCGGAAGGAACAGAGGAGCATCACATACTGGTCGCTAGCCGGACCTCTGATCATTGAGCTCCAGACCGGCTGCATAGGGAATCGTTGCGAGCTTTTGATTGGTTTATGCAAGGCGAGGGGGGTATACGATCTCGGCAAGCGCTCAAAGGTGGCCAACGAGTCAGGAGCCATGCACCTAGACGACGACGACCGGTCTTCCCCACTCACACGAAGCATGCACCTCGTGACGGTATACCGTAGAAAGGAGGGGCGATCGACTGTAAATCGAGCCACGTACGCCAGCCTCTCTGTCAAATCCTCGGGCCATAACTTCTTTTTCCCTTCTTTCGACCACGTTGGAGCATACTCTTGGACGCAGACGGCGATCCCCATATCTCAACGATTACGGTGCAGATAGCACATGCTCTAACAGCAAAGGTGGTGGTGTCCGCTCATTCGGAGGGATGGGTGTCGAGGAGAGGTTAGAAAGTTGAAGCGAAGTGAACAGAGTCGGGTCCTTGACGATGAAAATGTGTTCCGAGGTTGGCAGGCTGGCAGGGTATGCCGAGCCTCCAGGACGTGTATAAAGGGAGATGCGGGGCTCCAATGCAAAGGTAAGCCTAACGGAACGACACGTCAGATATGGACATGAGAGTCAAAGTGAGCAGATATGCACCGTATAATTCTTCAGCAAAAAACAACTTCTTCTTCAACTCTTGGCTGCACGGCGCATCCTTCGCTGGATAGAAGCTCGCCATCCCTTCAAAACGTTGGGGATGTGAGAGATGGGGTGATTGTGGGATCGCAGTATTTCCGTCCAAGCATCTGCACGCGAATACATGGATGCATGGTCTCGGGGTCCTTTCATCGTGTTGGCGCTGTTCCATTCGAGCTCCGGACGACCTGTTCAGAGAACGCCTTTGATAAGCAGTCGACAGTTATACGCGACACGAGCCTGGCGAGCTAAATTTCGTCATTTGAGGTCATCGACTGGCAAAGAATGACAAGCAAAAGACATACTCGAAGGGCGGGGATTGATGCATCGTTATTTGGTCACGGTGGGGGTGGGGCTCCGAGTCGTACTTGTTAACACAGGTACCATAGCCTATTCAGCCAGTAATCAATAGAAAATCGACGAGGTAGGATAGAAAGCTTACATGTTTTGCAGCACTACGACGTGGAAAGAGAGATCTCTCTGTCTCATCATTGCGCGACATCCGAAAGGAAAGCCGCTATCTCTCGACCCCCCATACCAACCCGCCTTTCCTCTTCAATTGAGCTCTGCTGACTGAATTCTCTGAGGCCGATGATGTCGCAGGCAGTGTGCATGGGCATATCGTGATGGTTGTTGATGTAGGAAACCTGGAGATAGAGGACGATGCGACTGGGAGCGGCTGATGGACCAAGCTATAGCGAGTTCAGAGATTTGTGGGTCGAGTTTGACAAGAGGAAAACGACGCCATTCGCCCCCGCTACTGATGATCTTCTGACCCCTTGGCCTCCGTTGAGGGCCAGGCACAGTCGTTGAAGAGTGCATGTATTGCCTGTTGCCGATGGAAGGAGTAAGAGGTAAAGCCAATCCATAATGGCAAAAGGTGGGGGGGCTTAGAAAACGAAACTGCAGTCATTGCAGCAGCGATTCTGCTGCATAATAAGAACGAAAAGCAGGGGACAACAAGAAACAAGGACGCACAATTCCTATGCAGATTCCAGGATACGACGTGTACGCATACCAATCACTCGCATTGTACCACCGTCGCCATCGCCACCACTCCCTGCACATTCTCGCCACTTGTGCCAGGTTTCCCCCCACGAATTCGTCAAGACAAACGGCTCCTTCGTCGAAGAAAGAATAGGGCAGCACGCGACAGAGATGTCATTGAAGCGGTGGTGGTGGTGGAAATTGGTCGAGTGATCGGACGTGGGGAAATTAGCCCCATGCCCATCAGATACATGCCACTACATCTTGTTTCTTCCACCCGTACCATCACCGTTGACCGTACAGCGTAATTCAAACAATGCAAGCTCCATCTCAACCTCATACTCAGTCTCCAAGTGCAGCAGTGCTTGGTCGATCTGCAATCCTCGCGCCTCCGAATCTCGCTCCTGATGATACCGACCGTTGGCTGGCCCCTGTGCTTCGCACTGCTCCCGACCACCTAAGAAAGTGGCTCATGGACATGAGTAGCCGTGATCATGATAAAATTTATATGACAGAAATTGATGAGGAGGCCAAAACCTGGATCCAAGAGCATCGTGAAGAAGTAATTGAGGCCATGCCTGTTCGGTGTGTTACCATGAGGATCCACTTTATCTGGAGTATTGACTATGGCTTCTTAGACTTGAAACCTATGAAAACAATATAATTCTACAAATCCCATCACAGATCCATCAGTTTGCCGGTCAGGTCATCAAGGAAGCTATCAACTCCAGATATAAATCTGGCACCCAGGACATCACAATTATGGAATCTGCTGATATCCCCCTTCTCGACAAGCATTGGAAGCAGTGCGACATCCAAATCTATGACTTAGGGCCTCCACCTGACAGCGCCAGCGCGGCCATCCAAAAGGCTTACTTGTACCCCACTGTTGTAATTGAAGTCAGTTTCTCTGAATCTGCTGCGGATTTAGATTTCGACATTGCATGAGCTCTCTGCTTGACGGAAGGGAGGCTGTGGCTTGGCATTGCCCTCAATATTGGCAAAGGCCAAATCCCTGTCCTCACCGTCACCATCTTTGTGTTTGCACCAGGCTTGATGTCAGAAGATGAGGTTGAGGAGGCAAGGATTGAATCCGGTCGAGTGTATGGCCGATATGAGGGGCATTGGGTACCGGTCGCATATCAAGATCACAGATGCTACAATCATTTCTTAGCCATCGGGCCAGAGACAATTGAAAAAAATGGGAAACATGGCAAACCAGTCTACTATTGTGTGAAAAAGGATTCCTGGATAGTAAGTTCCATATATTTGCTGGCATGAGTTAATTACTGAGTTCTCCTAGATTACAGAGGATGGGCATGGCCCTGAGCAAGATATCATTATCCAGGAGGGGTATTATAAGCGTGCTTATAAGGACTATGATGCTCCTGCTCTGACTATCCCTGCTGATGAATTGTGGAAAGCCCTGTTGAAATGTAAAGAAGTAACAGGAGTGCTAAAAAGTGATATGGAGTCCTACAAAAATACTGGTACCACTGGGGAACCCAATGCCGAGGATTCCGAGCCAAGTGAAAGGTGGCAGCAACGGGTAATTATGGAGGTTGATTTCGATGCTCCTGTTCCAAAGAAGTTGAAACAAAGCCACTGACATCATAATGACATGGACATTGAAGGAATAAAAATTTGGTGTGTTAATGAATTATCATTTCCACTTCACCCAAGGCAGAACTAACTCTGCTATGTCTCAGTTTCATCACTTGAGCCTGTGAGGATCAGTATTTTTTCTAGCAAGCACAGGTATTGCTGATCAGCCACTGGAGTGATCAATTGAAAGTGCAACTGAAAACATTGACCTGTTGTGCTTTCATCAATCTTCAGCCGTTCCTCTTCAGAATATACATACCACCCCTTTATATACTATATTTTCATTTTACCAAGTCCTGGATTTTTTGTGGTAGCCAATAGTGGTTTTTCATCCTTGTATTAACGTGATGATGGTTGACTGGGACACCCCCTGTGTGGCTGTGAGATCAATTGTTGTTCAGCTTGACCTATCAAGTTTGATACATTGATGGCAAAAGTACACAGGACAGATGAGAATTTGAGGGATATCTGAATGCCCACAAAAGGGTTACATTTTGGGAGATCGATCTAAGATCTTGGCAGAAAATTTACATAAAATTTGCATATTCCTTGATCTCTAGCAAGCGGCATGGGATTTAGATCCTCTGTCAATCGGTACACCTATACCTCTTGTTTGTCAACTCAGTGTTTGGCCATGGCTCCATTATATCCACTTATACGTTGTGTATCTTTCTCCTTCCTTAGTTATCTTTTACATTCCCTTGACACTGAGGAAGTATGCCTTTTTTTTTCACTACCTACAAACATACACTTTCAGATTACTGTGTAGACTGACTGTGTCCATACTTGTTAGGTTCACTGGTCATCATCCTCCAAAATGAGAAGTTAGCCGAACCCCCAATGAATTCGTAAAATGTTACATTCTTGCTCAAAATTCAGGTTTGCCAAAGAATTTTGGTCTTTCTGGTGCACTGATTGTAATGGACATGAATAGTATCATTCATTTGAGCTTTGTTTACCTATCCTTTCAGACAGCTAGGATTTCTACTACTATGTCATTTTTGGGTTTTTCATACTCTGCCTAAGTTACATTGACTCGGCTGATGCTTTCTCGACGCATTGCATGATCTTACATCAGCATCTCAACTGGCCCTAGTTTCTGCGGTCTTGACACTTTGCTTTTGACATGACTGTGCTTGTTTGACTTCTGAACCGGTGTTATGCAGGTCATGTGACCATCACTGAAGTCATCAGTCAGGGTTATTGGATGACTTTGACTTTCGCCCCAGTGACTGGAATCTCAAGGTCATGGTGCCTATGCTGGTCACACTGACAAACCAGACAAATTAGTCTCAGACTACTATATCTGCATGACCAGCGACTTTGACCTCTGTGTACCAGTGCTTCTGCCGCCTTATAGTACATTTCTTCTGCCGATATCCCCTAGCAATAATTGTAGTAGTGAAATAAATATATCTCTTTCTCCTGTCTTTCATGTCAAAAGATGCTAACACCAGGCTAAAATCCATGATGGATGTTCTCAATTCTGCATCACCACCAAAGTCCCCCCTTCCCTCCATAAAAAAATTGTGCATTTCTTAGCTATGTCTCACTTCAATTAGGAAACTTGAGCTGAAATATGTACCACCCCTGTTTGTGAACACAAGAATATGTATAAATTCAGAAAAACATATTTATAAAGGCTAACTATGAGAACTCAAAAGGCTATGTCCATCAACCCAAAATACAGGTCCCAAATGAACCCAGCCACCTCTTCTGGAATACTCTCCTCCATGGCTTCAATAAAGTCATCCCTTGTATCAGCCTCTTCAAGATGTCTTGATATGTATCACTTTAGGTACTGGTATACCTCCAGATATCTTGCAAGTAACTTGGGAAGATGTAGTGGTGACATGGATCTTGGCCTGGAGGGCTCTGCTTGGCTGAGGCTTACTGGAGTCCTTGGTGAGTTGTGTGATGCTATGGAATTCAGGGAGGGTATGAGTTAATTTTAGAACAACACTCACTGGGAGATGAAAATATGTCCCCATTGCCAACACTATTGATGGTCACACCTGAAGTGAGGTAGTTGCTATGATCTCATTTGAATAAGTAAAGTTGAAGGAAAATCCTTGATAAATTACTTATGAGTTTTCCTTGGTGATGGGTCAAGAATGTATGCCTTCTCTTTCTGCTTTGAAGGGCCCCCACTGGAGATGCTGTGGGTGAAGCAATGGTGGATGTAGGGTGGAGAACTCAACTGCCAGCATGAAATGGTGAAGTTGTTGTGTTGGCCAGATATTGATCTACACATTTATATACAGTTGCACTGCAACTCATTTGACAGATTAGTGCATTTTCAATCTTATCAAAGCCATAGGCCCTGCAATATATTGGGTTTGACTGATTGACTTGGTTCACAGCGTGTTCTCTATATCAAAAGTATAGTGAGTTTGATTCTGAAAAAGATCAAAAGACACACCAGTGATAGAAGATGCCTGCCTTTGTGCCATATATGATGGCCCAGAAGGTGGCCCCATCATTGTTGAACATTGCAGTGATCCTGGGCCATTCTTGCCACTCATGCAAAGACACTCTAAAAGTTACATCATCCTCTTGGCCATGATACACCAGGAATGAATTCAAATGTGTGTTCAATGTCAATGCCTGATCCTTTCTTTTGCAGTAAACTGTGACTGGCCACTTAGCGCCAGTAATATCATTCAGAATCCACACCCTTCCAGATCATTTAATGCAGTTCCACTTAAGAAAGTGAATGACTTACAGTTGGTTCTCATAGACTTCCAGACTGACACTGGATACATTAGGAGGAGAAAGAACAGTGCACCATAGTATTGTCCAGACCATCACAAGTGAAAAGGATTGATAATGCATCAGACTATGTTTTTTTAAGATGGGGTGATTCTTGGAAAATGAAATATGGCCAGAATTCTGCCTGAAATAAGGGAAGAAAATCCTAAAGTTTTTATTTTTGTGTTGGCATCGTTACCATGAAGTTGTGCATATATTCTTTGAATTCTTCTGTTTCATAAGTACCACCTGGGTTCTTATGTCACATTCTACTCGCATCATGCTCATCTTGAAGAAGGGGCTTCCAAGATGGAAACCTATAATGCTAAAGCACCTTAGTAACTTTGGGCAGGCCTTTGATCTCTGTCTACTTATGTACTTGGATATTTGCCTTTCTAAACTTAAATTTTTTTTGGCTAAATGTTCTCACAGGCCATCCAGCTCGATACCCAATGGCCAGAAAAGAAAACCTAGCAAAGTCTGATTGTCTTGAAGACTGATTATTCTGTTTTGAAATTGTCAATAGTTACCATGTTTGCTTTGAAATATTGCCTTTTCCATCAGGCACAGTTTTATTGTGTTTTTGACACAACATTTATATAAGTATAAGAATGAACCACATCACTGGTTCTTAAATAACTCATAAAATCCATCCTGTGGTGCAGGTGTTCTCTGGAGACATTTTTCATGTGAAGAGACATTACATTAAAACCATGCCAGTTTGAAATGATGTTTCAAGCAAATATGATAACTAATGATAATTTCGAAACAGAACAGTCGATCTTCAAGACAATTGGACTTTGCTAAGTTCTGTTTCCTTTTCTGGCCATTGAGCATTGAGCTGGATGGCCCATGAGAACATTTAGCCAAAAAAAACTATTTAGGTTTGGGAATGCAAATATCCATGTAATAAGTAAACAGGGATCAAAGGCCTGCCCAAAGGTACTAGGCTCTTCATACTGAAAATGTCTTCAGAGGAGAGCAGCTGCACTACAGGATGGATTTTATGAGTTGTTTAAGAATCAGCAACATGGTTCATTCTTATACTTATATAAATGTTGTGTCAAAAACACAATAAAACTGTGCCTGATGGAAAAGGCAATATTTCAAAGCAAACATGGTAACTATTGACAATTTCAAAACAGAATAATCAATCTTCAAGACAATCAGACTTTGCTAGGTTTTCTTTTCTGGCCATTGGGTATCGAGCTGGATGGCCTGTGAGAACATTTAGCCAAAAAAAAAATTTAAGTTTGAGAAGGCAAATATCCAAGTACATAAGGTAGGCATTGTCCAGATCTGGCACTCCCTTATATAAGCAGAACAAGTCCCAACTTGGTGCCTTTATTCTTACATCCTCTAGGCACAGATGGTCAATACAGCTTCAACAATAGTATCTACATGCTTCAAGGATGATTTCTATGCAAACAAAATATTTTATTACTCCCAGTTTGAGGAGATATTTAGCTTTTAGTAAAAAATTTTGAGGCCTATTTCTGACTACTCTACAATGATTTTCTATGCATTTAGAGCAAAAAAGAGTTTTTGATCTTGTCGAATTTGGCAGCTTAGTCATCTATTAGTCATTCAGCATGTCACATGCCTATAATTAATAGCAGGCACTTGCCTCAGCATGGCTCTGAAAGAATATCTAGCATGATTGTTATGTCATGAGCAATGAACAAACCAATGTAAGAGGCCATTCAGTTCAAAATCATGCAAAATCTCACTACTTTTATATTCAGACCATCAAATTTGGCACTTATGTAATGCTTACATAAGAATGCCAGATCCAAGTGACACCTACCTTAAGTAGACAGGGATCAAAGGCCCACCCAAAGTTACTAAGATGCTTCAGCCACCTTACAAGTCAGACAGAAATAGGGCTTCATAAATATAGTTATGAACAAACTTCTATCAAGAATAGTACTACGTATATTCATAACAACCACTGTTTTTGAACCTTCATCAAGACACAATTGCAAAGATTGAGAATTCGGATGGCTGGTGTTAGTAGATGATTCAACTGTGTGTCCAATACTATCCATGTTGACCGGTGATTCAACATGTATCCAGATACCACAGACATATGTCAAAATTGCCTGCTCTGATTTCAGCTACATCAGCATCAGTTCAGCAAGGGACTTTATCAATATCACTTATGATAAACTATGGGCAAACAGTGCCACAGGAGGGTGCTCAGGGACTCTTCGACTAGTATTGTTCTGGTCTAGTGCATGAACTTCTTACCTTGTTCTGAATCTTCTACTCATTCCTATATAGTGTAGGTTGATCCCACTCAAGATGGCAGTTCTGTTCAAGGATAAGGAGGAGCCATCACCGCATAGGGCCATCAAAGTTGTCTGCCATCCTGATACTACCACGATGTCTATGCACTTTACAGTTCCCCAACCCCACCACCAAATCACCTCTACAATTTCATCTGCACTTCCTGACCCTCAGCTTCTTCAACTTGCTGAGCAACATCGTCCACAGGCTCGCTATTAGCAGTTTGACCGCCTCCATGCATCTCTCCATGCTCACCTCCAACTCAGCCTCTAGCGGCACTATCACTTGCTCTGAAAGCATCATCAGACCCTCCATAATCACTGCAGCGACAACCTCTTTAGCCCCAAAAACATCATCCGAGAACCTGGAAGAGTATCATATCATGTACCCTTCCTCCAGTTGCATTTCTCTGTGCTTGTTTCCATCCTAACACACACAATCTGCTCTCTCTGATTCAAAAAAAACTGCGTTCATAAAAGTTGTTGGGAAATATAATGATATCGAGGGCTGCTAGTGTCAGCATTGATGGGAAAGATTCAAAAGTCAGATGTTGGCCTCGAAGTAAAGAGGGCAAGTCACTGCAGGCTTGTAGTATGAAATTGGAGTTTTTCTTCTGAAACTCCATTTCTGATCCACTCTTCGACTTCTTTCTCGCCCCACCATACCCTACATATAATCCTTTGCAACCACCTCTATCACCACAGGCAGGAGCAACAAGGAAAAGAGCACTCTCTCTCTCTCCTCATGACCTGTTGACTCTTGGCTTCCCTCAGCATGTGTCGACCTACAATAATCAACACTCATACACATCTTCTCTTCACGCTTGCATTGTATCACTCAAAGCACCCTGAAGGGTGGTATATGAGACTGCAATTGACTTTGTTGGGGGGTAACGGGGTGAAGACAATAGTCAATGTGTGATGTGAGCCTGGAGGTGATCATGCAAGGAATGTGGAAAGAGCTGGCGGATGAGAAATGGGAGGGTGTCCGGTATCAATTTGTTATCAGTGCATTCCTTTCTTTTTCACTTCTACTTCCTTGCTAACTCATAGACAGGTGTTCATCCACATGTCCTTCGAGATCAAACCTGGCTCTCATCACGATGAAAATACGATGCAAAATCATTTACCTCGGCTGTGGAATTCGAGATTATCAATGCTTCGGGCTAGGTGAGGTGAGATCGGACTTGACACACTCTCACCGCCAGATGTCCAACAAACAGTATTCACCCAGCAACTATGGATAGCCATAGATTGTCATATTCCAATAAGGGTGCATACACGAGAAGCAGAGGAGGAAACAGAGTGTGTTATGAAGGAAATTGTGCCCAAGGATACATTTAAGGATAATCAATGATAGGTGGGATGTGGAGCAGATGTTGGACATGGCAAGAAAGGATATATGATATTTGGAGGACAAGGGTGGAGAGCACAAGTGGTGACCTGACCCCTGAGATGATTGGTATATATCTCTATGCTTGCCTTGTCTTGCCTTGTTCTAACTTCTTTACAGGGTGCACTGAGCAACTGATGAGAACATCATGTATTCTATCACCCAGAGAAGCATGGCAACCTTACTATTTACTATTTGTGCACATCTGAATTTGGTTCAGGGATTTGAATCAACATTGCCTAGGTATAGCCAACACACATCTGGCTTACCGCACTTTGGACTGCTTTCCTCCTGCGAGGTCATCCTCAGCAGCTTGCAACCTATTTGCTCATCTATTATGCTCGCAGTCTCTCCATCCCAACTTGTCACCCTCTGGCTGCCCCGCCTGATCTCTGAAATCTCAATCTGCTACAAAATCATGCATCTTTCATTGTCATTCCTTGACTGATTGTCAGTGGTGCTTGTAGACCATCCGAGGCCAAGAGCCTGTGTTCTGTGTAAGAACGCAAGGGTATGGCTTGTCTGTGAGGAAAGAAGTACGGAGGCGATGAAGGTGCAGATCCTCAAGAAGGACATCGATAAGCCATATGATGAAACTCAAAGTTCCCTTCTGTGATGTAGGGCAGATGTTGATGAGCTCGAGGACTGACTCGCTCATCTGGGTACGATTATTTTGTCAGTTCAACGTGTTCACATGCTACTGGTGTCATAGACTACATTTCTCCTTATTACTTCTAGGAGATATGCCATGAGGAAGCAATAAATTCCTACCTCATTTAAGCATATGTAAAGCGAGCTATCGAGTCCAGAAGAACATCGGGTGTTCTCACACCACACTTATTTCCCTTCAACAACCTTCATGGTACCAGCACCATTCTCCCAAACCTTCTGAACCCTCATCGAGATATGATGTGATTGCAAGGATCAGCAATTTGAATAGCTGGTCTTAGCAGATGATGAGTTTCTTCAAGTGAGTCCAGTACTATTCACATTGAATGGTGATTCATAGTACATTCAGACATGGCTGACAAAAGCTACTGTGATTCTACATTGAAATTTCCCATCCCTCAATCTCAGTATGGGCTCAGATATGCAGGAGTGTGACTATCAGTGTTGGAGTCTGGTGTGAGGGGATTCGACTGCATATCAACTGATGATGGTGCTATTTTAGTCTGGTGCATCAGTGCTCTTCTTACCTTTTTCTAAGTCTCATACTCATTATTTTAGATGTAGTTCATCTTGCTCAGGTCTCATTGATTTGTGCCCACGAAAGACAACACTTTTGTCCTACACCAATTCTCTACATGTTCCCTCCCCACTTGCAAACAGTGTTTCGCTACATCTGCTGAATATCGATTGGATGCTACGTAACCATGGTGCTTCCACATCATTCCAGCATCGACCTCTTTAGCCCCAAAAACATCGCCAAAATACCCAAGAACCCTGAGAGGGTATTGACGTGCACATATTCTAAACAAAGAGAGGTTATTTGGGACGTTATAGCAACAATTTTTTTCTCATACAATGCCACGCATGAGAGGTTCCTCCAATGGAGAGCGCGCATGTCTAGGGAGGTTCAATTTGGGCTGATGTTCTTCACAATGCATTGTGTCTTGTGGGTGCTGTCCACTTATGTTCCAGAGCCTAATCCAGCACCCATGACAACTCTGTGATCAAGAACCCACTGGTAATACTGTCAGCATTGTGTTAATTCTTCAACGTTGCCTCCTATCCATCAGTGCCCTGATCCACCCACACATGGGCCCTTAGGAACAATCCGGTGAGAGTGTCACCGAGAATAACCTCACACAAAATGATGCATGCATGTCTAGCAGTGGACATTGATTGACTTTGATACTAGTCAATGCTTACTCGGAACGAGAAATCAAAAACATGCCATAACCCACCAGTAATACCTCCAGTTCCTCCAACGAGACAGATTCACCAACGTGGCCCCATCTATCTCTACCTTGTAGCACTGCTTCACCCTGCTTCAAGAGACATCATCCACGGACTCCATCAACAATTCAATTATCTTCACGCCTCCATCCATGATCGCTTTCCAACTCCTCAACCTCCAGCAACGCCCTCGCCTGCCCAATGTTAGGGATGTGCACTGTCTGTATCCATACCGTATACTGTATGAGCAAGGCTGCTGATGGTGTCAGTCCATATAATTACAGCTGTATTTGTTGTCAAGATTTCGTCTTACCGATATGCATCAGTATGGTGTGCAATGGATGTTAGACTGATATACTAAATATTTCGAGATGCTACATGGGAATCCTTGCCAGGAAAATGCCATTTTCAGTCAGTTTAAGAAGCATGCTATGATGTCATACTTCCTTCAAGGCAAATGTTTGAGTCGTCAAGGGCTGTGATAGACAGTGAGATAAATGAAAATGATTTTTAGATGCTTGAATTCATGTCAGAAAACAAAAACAGGGTTCAAAAGTGCCTCCTCCCATCTGGTTGCACTGCCACATACAAGCCACACATATATGGCCATCAATGGCCATACTGTATGGTGTTGTTTGGAGGACTCATGGCTTTGGCACGTATACCGTACATGGAAGCTGTATCACCATACAATACAGTGACGGTGCACAGCCCTACTGCCCATGAAGCATCACTGGACATGGCAGCACCATACTAGTACTCACACCCAACACTAACCTCTCCAAGCTTTGAGCTTCAGCTTCAGCCCCTGCAATATCGCCAAATTTTCCGGACAACCACAAGAAGGGTCATACAGCACTCAGTGTGCCATCTCCCATGGAGTGTTGTCCATCGCTGTGGGTTGTTACCATTTGTTCTATCCCTGTCTTTGCAGCAGAACCTACATTCTGCAATGACCTGGCATGACTTATCCAAGCCATTAACATCTGGGAGGAGTGGAAAGAACTGTCTAGCTCAGTTGGACCGGGAGAGATGCCCGATTCTCCGATTGAAGAGGTGTACATGCATGCATCCAGGAATTGCAGCTCGAAATGATGACATGATCGAACCTAATCATTGTGACATGCGGATACTCAGGGTAAAGCATGCTGGAAGGACATGGCACCGTAACATCGCAAGCCATGGTATGGCATGTACACCTTACAGCAGCAAGAGGTACAGATGGATGGATATTTACTGATAGAAAGTGAAACAGTATGTTTTCTTTTAGTTTGCACCACCTTTTCCATACTTATGCAGGTGCTACAGTTGTTCAAGAATGTGCAATTCTGGTATCTTCCACCGCTAGGTCGCAACGAGGCGGGAAACATCAGTCTTGGGAGAGTATATTGTGAGGTGTTACGATCAGAGAATGTCATGAAGGCTACTTATGAAGCACTATGTTCCTCTCTCGCAACCATATATATATATTATCATGTCCATAAAACAGAGCCCAGTATAGAGTAAAAGAAATACTCCTATATTGATTCTGAAGGGTCGTTTCTGTCTCTGGAACATGGTCATTGAGCATCAGCTGAACATGTGAGGCAATGCTCATAAGGTGCTGACAAAGCAAACAAGATGACTTAATCTTGCCTTCAACCTTGACTTTCTCATTTGCAGTCAGCTCCTTCTTACGAAAATGGCATGTCAGACCTAAGCAAGGAGATTAGAAAGACGTGATATGCACTGCAGTTCTCTTCTTAGCAAAAAGCCGATATCTTATTCAGACATTCCTTTGAAACGGTGGCAAAGCTGAACAGTGCAGTGGTCAGACCTATTTTGGCTGAGAGCTGAGTATATATGAAACGGTTGTGTAGGCATGATGTCCTCAAACTGACAGGTCAATAGCCAGATGTCTATAATTGATAGCGCTGCTTCTGCATTCACCGGGCTCAGAACTTTTAGTGGATGTCTCTCATCCTCTTTGTTTGGCATGAAGGTTCTGAAGAAGGAATGGGACAAATTCTTTTTGGGTGCTTCTAAGCTGACTAGCTGCACACAGAACCAATATCAGAGCTGATAGCAGAGACAGATGTGACAAGCTGAGCTTGTTGAGGCAGGTGAATGATGTCCATGGATGATCGAAGTTTTTGCCGAGGGAGTTGTTGGGGAAGAACATGAAAGCATCATCTTGTGTGGCATCCAGATCAAACATGTGCCATGTAGAGGCAGATGATGAATAACAGACTATACAACCAGATTCTTGTCAATCCTCCCTTCCTGATTGGCTCGTCTGACCAGATTCTTCGACGTGTGTCCCGATATCTCAACGATTGCGATATGCATTCGGAGAAATATGTGGGAATTCAAAGGTGAGGTAGATGAATGGTGTATGGTCTAAAAATGCTCTCCAAGTTCTGCAGGGAGCAGGACGATGTGTAGGAAGCCAGAGGTGGTGGCTGACCCTTCAATGGTAGCTCACAGTTGGGGACGATGTAAATCCATAGCGATTGGATTGCATCAGGAAAAAACTACTTTGCTACATTGCAATATGTAGTCTATGTAGCACTTGTAGTGCCATAGCACAGTCCCCCATATGTAGCAGCTTGTAGCACACCACTAAGAGTACGTAGTAGCTGTATCAAGTGATAGCACCCCACCCAAACTATTGTATTGCTACAGTAGCAGCATTGTATCGATACCTACGAAGACATATTCTGACAAACACAGAAGAGGGCAGACCATGAAATGAATGAAATCAATATATTACTACTAGCTACTACACCAATATAGCTGTATGACATCACATGCACTAGACCACCTCCAACATCTGAACTCTGAGTAGCATCGCGATCCACCCTGTCATCACAAAGTACACCAAAACAGATTGAAATCCTAGCAGAACAGCAGTGAGATCAGTAGTAGCTGATAGGAACAAGGCTACAGCACTTACAACTGATTGCATTGCTATGAAAAATGGGAAATATAGGGACAGTGCAATAACCGCAGTTGTCGCACCTGGTCTTTGGCACCATTACAGTTCATGGGTTGTTCCAAGTCCTAAGTGCTATGGCATAAATATGATGAATGTCAAAACAATTCAAGTTACATACATTCCAGGACAGGTACCCTTAGAACACTATTCCTATGAAAAGCACGAGACGAGTCAGTAAAAAAGCATGGGGTTGCAGTTGGGGTACTCACCGGCAGCCTTGAGTACAAGACATCTCATCCAAGTGCTGTGAAACAAGGCTGTGTGAGATCAAGTGAAAGAGACAGCATGAACATGCACAATGAACAGTGAATTTAGCATTCAAAGCATAAGAGACACATATCCAAGGAGCGCACAAATGGTGAAGAGGACCATCTGAAGGGAACATAGGTTGCCTGCACCAGTAAGCCAGAAGGAAGATAAAACCATAAACGGCGACACGTGAAGAGGAACGAGAGAGGTAGGTGCTGAAATGTTGATGGAGGAAAGAAAGCAAGGGTGGTTGGATTTGGTTGGGATCTGATGGCATGATCTTGGTTGATTATGCACGTGATGGATGGACTCTGTGTCGGAGTTTCAAATGAACTTATTAGAACTCCCCCCCAGCTACTTGTCCTTGGCACTGCCATTGTAGCTGTCCATACTTCACAAGGCATATATCGTTCTAATTACCTTCTGATGTGCTGATTTTGTCTTTGCGTTACTTTCCTATCCTTATTCAAGTCCATATTTCAGTCAGACTCAATATTCTCTTTTAGCTGACACTCAACTTGTACCATCAGCCACTATCGTAGACCCAAAAAAAGAGATAATGCTGACCAATGTTGTAGCATTCAGTAGGTTTCACTGAAGTATACAGATTGTGTATGTAGCTACTGGCAGTATATACAGAATGCTACCTACTGCTACCTAGTGCTGTGCACCCTCTACCATCACTACTGGCGATACATAAGCTACATATATCTGAGTGGCAGATACGTAGCAAAAGGGTTTTTCCTGATGTGTGTGCTGTGGTTACTGGTCATCATGAGGGACTCTCAGTGCAGTGGTTTGCATCTTCTGCTTGAGATGCTATTCTCAAAGCAAGTGACAGGACTTCCACGATTGATGTGCAGAACTGGTCTGTGAAGTCCGGCGATAATGATTGCTAGCTGCTAGCCATCTCCTAGGATGAACCGCATCTGTTGGGATTTGGCAATCCGGCATCATGCCAAAGATGCTTATTAAGGTAGAAGTCTTAGGAAAAGCATGGAAAGTTCTAGTAAAAGTACATTTAGTATAAAAGTAGGTACTTTAGTGTAGATCCTCATGCATTTGCAGAGCTCAGCCAAGTGCAATACTATTGGCTTGCTACTGCGCATGTGACACTGGGAATGAACCAATACCCCATTTTCCAACAGCATCTTGCGAGGCTATCATTCCACTACATAACACTCAGCAGCCAATCCACTTGTCCCACCTAGGATGGACAGCATCGGTAGAGCAGGTTTTTCTCATGACTTTGGCGCCATCGACGGGAAACCGCAAATTTTCGACGGCCTTGACCTGAGCAGTGGCGCCGCCTTCTTTGCTTTCACGATCATCACGGGTATGGTCTTCCCTGCCGTTCTTCGGTTGCCTTCGAAGAGGAAAGAGGCTTTAACTGATATGAACCGTGTATTCTCTGGTGTGGCCGACCAGCTCTTGTCAAAGGCCAAGGAGCATGGGAACGAGGAGGATAAATCTGTAATGGGTCTGCTTCGTGAGTATGACCAATACTGGTTCCTGTGGGAAGCTGATAGCGTTTATATACAGTCAAATCAGAGATGCATGATGCAGACGTTCACATGTCTAGGGAAGAGATCATTGCACAGGTATCTGATACCGACCCCGCACTACTGATTCTTTGCTAACGATTGCTTACAACAGATGGTACAGAAATTTTTACTTTTGTTTTCGTGCTTACAATTTCGGAACTTTAGAACATGTTGTTGATAGCAGGTGAGCGTCGCAGATTTACTCCCTTATTTTGAAAGCTAATCATTTTACAGGCTATGAAATGACAAGCAGTAAGTCTCAATTCTTTCCAAGACTCTGCTCTGAATTGCTTTCGTATAGTCAGTCTCACGGTATGTGAGCTATCAGCGACCGATCATTAAATAAAATTGATAATCTCGCAGTGGGCCCTTATCGAAATGTGCAAGAACGCGGACATCCAGAACAAGCTCCGCGCAGAACTGGTGCAATTCGGCAACACCGACCCGACATGGGAGCAACTCAACTCGAGTCTTCCGTATCTTGACGCAGTCGTACACGAAACCCTACGATTGCACCCACCCGTATCAGAGGCCGTAAGGGTGGTGCGCATCCTATCCTCTAGCGTATCGATTATCTCTCACTTCCTAGCAGGCAACAGAAGACGACGTTCTTCCTCTCACTACACCAGTAGTGACCAAATCCGGAGAGACCGTTAACAGTCTCTTAGTGGCCAAAAAGACGGTCTTCACCGTTCCCATTCAAACGCTGAACATATCCGAGGAATTCTGGGGCCCTGATGCAAAGGAGTTCAGACCGGAGAGGTGGCTGGAGGACTTTACACCGCGAGCGAAGGAGATCCAGGGTCATCGACACCTGTTGACGTTCGTAGATGGACCCAAGACATGTCTCGGGAAGACGTTCGCTTTGACCGAGTTCAAGGTGAGTAAAATTCTTGAGGGAGGGTATGTGCTTGTTTTTGCTGAGGATTGGACTCTTTAGGCGGCGCTCTTTGTTATTGTACGGAACTTTGCATTCGAATTTCCTGGTGGAAGTGATACAGCTATCGGCAAGTATACCGGGAGTGTTTTGCCTCGACCGAAAGTCGTTGGCAAAGAGGGCGCAAAAGTTCCGTTGAGGGTGAGGCGCGTATGATGTGACACCCGATCTCGCGATGATATAGGCAGAGTCTAAGAAATAAATGAACAGCCCATACATTTCGTCCTGCTCCTGTTTCTGACGTTCAGTCGTCTCTGAGATACCCCAGAAACAAGAGCACCCCATCAAGTCTTCGGGAGGCAGAACAAATCATCGCGAGATAAGCTGCTTGCTTGCTGGGGTTCTGATTTGTTAGGCGTACGTCTCCCGTCTTGCACGTTTTCGTCAGAAGAACAAACGCTCCCACATCGACATGCCTTCAATATACACCGTCTCCACGGACGCGACCAGTGCAGTAAGAAGTTGCTCTGATATGGCATAGAGCATAATGTTGGCATGCCTCTTTCCCGAGACGACTGGTCGAGCCATATGCGGTAGAGGATGGCGTGGGTGGGAGTGGTGAGCAATATCTCGGGGGATACAGCGGATAACAGCACAGGCCGAGAGGGCTTTCGAGAGCCCTGAACGTGACTCCCAAACTAACGACAGAGATAGACATCAATTCGATGGTGTAGTGACGTTCGGTGGTGGGTAGGAAGAAAGACTATAGTAATTGAGCGGATGTCCATTTACCCCACTAAGCGGGGTGAGATGGGATTTCGTCGTCTGTCCGTCGCGATCGATATGATAACTTGATCGGTCCTATCGACCGGCGGCTTGCACCGTGCTGTATTCTTCCGAAAACACTCCGCTGGCTCTGACAACAACAGCACCGGAAGCGGAGAAGTGTAGCTATCTCGCTTCAATGCGGGGATCTCATGCACCGGCCTAGTGAACAAGTCCTTGCGGAGAGGGAAACAGAATTTCCACGATCTAAACAAGTGCCTCATCATCCTTAAGTACTGGTGACGGCGACCTGACTTTGGATCACGACTATTGCTGGACCAACCGGGCGCAGCATCAGGGCAAAAGTAGAGCGAGCCCAGTGCTTTGCATAGCAAGTTACAGTTCGAGGCCGGGCGGGTCACGATATCGTCCAATCTTTAGGCGGTTATCACCGGTTTGGGAGATCCGAGTGATCTGTTATGACGAGAGGCAAAAGTTTGCATGAGCTGGAAATCTAGATGCATTGTATCGCATCTAATGATATCTTTTCGTTCTCATATCTGGTCCTGCTCATTTAAATTAGCTTCCGACATGGATTTATACTTGACAAGAATTACTTACATTACACCCCATACACCGTCCTGGCACCTTCCCTTGCTACATCCAGCGAAAACGGAAGCCCCGACTGTTTGGGCTCTAACGCGCCATACACGTCTGCCGGAACCATGGACGACGCGTTGGTCTCCAGCAGGATCTACTTGCAATCGGTGGCCGGCATTGTTCGGCAGCGATGAGGTTTGCTGCGTAGCAGAGGGCCTGGCCTGTAGCAGAGGACGCCTGTCACATCGATGTGAAGTACTCCAGGAAACTGCGGCCGGATGCGGCGGTGTCGGTGAAGCAGTGAGTATGGACCTGTACGGTAGATTTAGCAAGAATGCATACAGTGAAAGCAGACGTACTCGATGATCCTTGGGCACGATGTCCTTCATGATTCTCGCTCTTTTCTCCAGCCTCCCGTGCGTGTAAGCACCATAATAGGTATGCGTTCCACAGCTATCCTACCCTTGTAGAACATCTGGCGGCGACAGCGTGCAGTGGTAGTCGAGTCCGATCTCGCCCAGGCGGACGCACTATGAATGTGATAGTGTAGTGAGAATCTCGGATTCCTGTCTGGACGAGAGCCGTGGTAGAATGTACGGGTGAATGCTTGCTTGCGAGTTAGCAAGAAAGTCAGAGAGGAAAAGGGATGAACGTACTATGTAATAACGAATCGATAGTGAATGCCCTCCCACCAGCCCTTGGGCCTTTTCACATCTCTCGGAACACTTCCGGCTCGTACCACGCGTCGACTATGCCTCCCTCCGTTATCCACATACACGCCCTTGACAAAGTCAAACGTGGTCTCATACCCCCTTTCTGGGTATGTTGAGCGATACAAAGTAAACGTGGAGAGAAGATGTATATGGGCGTCGATTATCGTGAACTGTGAAGTTCTGAGCTGCTGATAGCGAGTCTGTGACGTCGCTTGGCAGATTGAAAAAGCTGAGGTCAAGAAGTGGAATAGGGTGCAGATGGGACTAGTGTGCGGGTGGATTGTTGAAAGAAGGAATGATCGTGATAATTGTCGTAGAATGTGCACCAATCAAAGTCGATGTCGGTGACGCCGTTGTCAGACGTGATGTGGTGGTGACTGACGCGCTTGATGGCATTAGCTGCTCCTTATCCTCGGCGGAAGACAGGGATACTACTTCAGCGAATGGGGAGGGGATCTGTAGAGAATCGGTGGAGAAGTGGGCACACATCGATGCGTCGACCTATGAATAAGAATGAGTACAACATTCAGAAAGAGTGATCAAGCTGACGCACTGGACCAAAACCATACTATCAAGCCGCTGAGCCCCCTCACACCAGACTCCAACGTCACATTCCTAATCCATACTGATGTGCTGAGGTCAAAACGGGCTATTTTGACGTAGATTCGCAGTAGCTATTATCAGCCGTGTCTGGATGCACCATGAATCGCCGGATGACAGGATCAGGATTGAACGCACTCGAAGAGTCCAATAATTTGCTGAGACTAGCCATCCGAATTCACGGTCCTTGCATTCGCGTCGAGGGCCGGTGAAAGTCAAGGTGCCATGGAGGTCGAAGAGAAAGAAGGGTGGCGTGAGAACGCTCTGGACTCCGTATAACTCGCTTTACGTCTGCTTAAACAAGGTAGGAATATATACGTCTTTTATTGCTTCCTCTCCTAGAAGTAACAAGGAGACACGTTCTACGAAACCAATGACACACATTGAACTGACAAAATACTCGTACTGCTCACAACGTGACCGGTAACCATCGATGCCCTTCTCGACTATCCGCACCTTCTTCGCCTCCGTCCTTCCTACAAGCCAAACCCATCTGCTGTTACACAGAACACCAGGTTTCGGTAAATGTTATAGTCTTCAAGCCCAACTGACACTCGGTCAAGAATCGATGTCTCTTCTAGTCCCACGCCCGAACGACGTTTCCACGAATACGTCTCTCAAGGAAGAAACGACGAGGACTGAGGTACGATTCCGCAGTGGGTGGAGATCGAGAAGATCAACATCAGGGTACAACAGCGAGAGTGACGCGTTGGGATGGACGGAGGCATGAGCGTAATCGGCGAATCATCGAGGACGACATCACAGAGAAGCAATCCCAAGTGTGTTAATACGCTCTGTTCCCCCTACTTCGAACACCCTTCAAAGTGTTCATAGTGGCGAACACAGCCCGATCGGTGCAGAAGGGAATATGACCGGCAATCTCTCTCTTTCGCAGAAGAAACAGGCACGATTTCGTCGTGGATGGAGAATGGCGAAGGCGAAGAGTAACATCAGGGCGAGAGATTGACAAGTTGGGGATGGAGAGGTGGGTTGGCGTAATAGAGTGAGTGTTCCAGAGGGTGGGTTGCAATGTCGTGGAGCCGTCGAGGAGGAGGAAACTACTCCAGGTGCAGTAAGCTGTGGTTTCTCTCGCCACGGAATTAATCTATGCTCATCCAAGTGCTTTGTAAGGGTGAACGTGGTCTGGGGAGCAGTACAACGGATACAGGAAAGCGTGTAGGCATCATATTCGGAGCTGTGTGAGGATGGGCGAAGGGTATGATACGACGTGCTTCCCTCTCTTGCGGTGAGGTATATCGTCGATATTCGTAAGAGGGCTTGTTTGAGAATAGAAACGTTTCTTTCCTCAGTTTAGGAAGACACAGACAATGCCTACCAGAGTAAAGTGTCAGATATAGCCAAGATGTCAAACGAATAAGACACTTACGGCGGATACCGGTCAAGTAAACAAGACGAATTCCTTCGAAACGCCAGTGATGTAGAGCAATATGCTTGATACAGCTTTGCAGTCCTTCCGTCCGTCCAATCTAGCCGAGATGTATCATGTATCGATTCGCTGATGATGGTGCGGAAGGAACAGAACAACGTCACAGGCAGGTCGCCAGCCGGACCTCTGCACGGGCTTTAGACTAGCTGGTACACGGAGCTTTGGCAAGCACTTGCTAAGCTTGTGAGGAATATGATCCCAGCGAACACTCGAAGGCTGCTGACGATGGAGTTCGGTAAATCGTCACTTCGGCATCATAGGAGCATGCAGGGACTGACGAGAGAGCCGTCTTCCCCATCTGCACGCGTAATGCACCTCGTGATGGCACTATATCGTAGAAACGAGTGGTAATGGACTGAGACTGAGCCACGTATGACCAGCCTCGAAATTCCTATCTGTCAAATCCTCGTGCCATAATCCTTTCTCTTCTTTCGGCCACGTTGGAGCATGCTCTTCGACACAGACGGCGATCCCCAGGTCTCGACGATTACGGTGCAGATAGCACATGCTCTAACAGCAGAAGCGGCGGTGTCTGCTCTTTCGGAGGGATGCGTGCGAGGGATTAAAAGGGTGAAGCCAGTGAACAGGTTCAGGTCCTTGACAATGAAAATGTGTTCCGAGGTTGGGAGGTTGAACAAGGGTATCCTAAGCCTGCGAGACATGTATAAAGGGTGACGCGGGGCTCCTCCAACAAAAGTTCTATGTGTAGTGAGCCTAGTGGAACGACACATCAGATATGGACATGGGAGTCAGAGCGATAATGCACGCACCTTCAGCAAAAGACAACATCTTCTTCATCTCTTCGCTACACGGTGTATCCTTGGCTGGATAGAAGCTCGCCATCCCATCAAAACGTCGGGGATGTGAGCGACGGGGTGATTGTGGGATCGTAGCATTTCCGTCCTAGCATACGAATACACGAATGCATGGTCTCAGGGTCCTTTCATCGTGTTGACGCTGTTCCATTCGAACTCCGGACGACCTGTTCAGAGAACGCCTTTGATAGGTAGTCGATAGTTATACGCGACACGAGCCCGGCGAGCTAAATCTCGTCACCTGAGGTCATCGACTGGCAACGAATGATATGCAAAGGACATACTCGAAGGGCGGGGATTTATGCATCATTATTTGGTCACGGTGGAGGTGGGGCTCGTACTTATGAACACAGGTACCATAGGAATACGCCTATTCGGTTGGTAATCAATAGGAAATCGACGAGGTAAGATAGAAAGTTTACATGGGCTGCAGCACCACGACGTGGGAAGGGATATCCCGACAATCATCTCCATCTCGTCATTGCGCGACATCCGAAAGGAAAGCCGCTATCTCTCGACCCCCCCCATACCAACGCGCCTTTTCTCTTCAACTGAGCTTTGCTGGATGTCGCGGGCTGCGTGCCATGGGCTCGTCCAAGGCTTGTCGTGATGGTTGTCGATATAGGAAACCCGGCGATAGAGGACGATGCAAGCGGCTGGGAGCGGCTGATGGACCGAGCTAGAGCGAGTTCAGAGATTTGTGGCTCGAGCACGGGGCGTCCAACAAAAGGAAAACAACGCCATCCGTCCCCGCTACTGATGATCTTCTGACCCCTTGGCCTCTTCGAGGGCCAGGCATAGTCGTTAGAGAGGTGCATGTATTGCCTGTTGTCGATGGAAGGAGTAAAAGGTAGAGCCAAGCCATAAATGCTTCAGGAGCGAGGACTTGGAAAATGAGGTTGCAGTCATTGCAGGAGCGATTCTGCCACATAATGAGAACGCAACGCAGAGAAAACAAGAAAGAAAGAAGGACGCACGATGGCATGCCACCCTTCACGGTAAGAAATTGCCCGACAGAGTTGCTACGTTCAACCACCCTTGCCATCGCCTCGGTTTTTAAACTCCTGCCAATCATTGGTCTACGAATCCACCAAAACAAGTAGCGCCTTCATCGAAAAAAAAGAGCAAGACAGCACACGGCAGTGAAACGGCTTCACGCAGTGCCAGATAGATGATGGTGGCGGTGGAAAGCTATGAGGCGTGGGGAAACTCACATCGCCCCCATCAGATACATATCACCGCAACGTGTTTCTTCCACTCGTACTCTCACCATCGACCGTACAGCGCAATTCAAAGAATGCAAGCTCCTTCTCAACTTTTTACTCAGTCTCCAAGTGCAGCGGCACCTGGTCGATCTGCAATTCTCCCGCCTCCGAATCTCGCTCCGGATGATACCGACTGGATGTCGAATGCCAGTGTCACTTTCAAGCTACTTGCTGGTGCAGGCGAAATTGATCGCACGGGCATCGCAAAGGCGATCGCGAATATTGCTCTCCCGATCCTGGAACTGGTTCAGGTGTGAATCTATGACTCTTGGGAAATATTACATACTGAAAGGGACCACCTGTTATTAGAATAATAAGAAAGCACAGAATGATCTCAAGGATACTATCAAGTACCTTGATGAGATGCTCCACTATGTCTCTGAGGAGACCAAACTCCTTCAAGATGGTCAATCCTTGACAGATGCTTCAACCCACCCTCTGGCACGCTTACAGCAAATGGGGGATGAATTCATCAGGTGTGCCTCTCTTTGATCTCATTAAGAGTCAGGGATTGATGTCTGCTGTTCAGTCAGCTCAAGGTTTTGAAAGATGATTTGAACAAGGTCTATGGAAAGACTGGGTTTCAAGCAAAGATAAAGAAGTCATTTCAGAGCAAGACTATCTTAGATCATGTTAATCAACACAAGGAATATGTCAAGGAAGCTCGAGATAAGCTTCTTGTGTGTTCTTTTCTGCTATAACATGTTAGAAGAATGCTAATCCTTTTCTAGACAACTGCTGTGCTTTCAGGTACCAGACAAGTTGGAGAGGTGAAGGCAATAGTAACTAATATTCAAGATCATCTGGTAAATCTTGTTGATTATTGCATTGATGCATACTAATATTCTCATAGATAAGTTCTTCAAGAATAACTCAATCTATCAAGTATGTCTCTGTATATTTTCTAAGGTATAATAGGTCTTATATTAGTCCACTGATTAGTAGCACTATGCTCTCTGCTATTCCATCACCACCACCTCTTGTATTCAAGGGTCGAGATGATTTAGTCCAAAAAGGCACAGCTAATCTTCTTGCTGATTCTCCTCATTCTATTATTATTATGGGATTCGGAGGTATGGGAAAAACATCATTAGCATTGAAATTGCTAGATGATGCAGCTGTAAAAAGCAAATATAGAGAATGCAGATACTTTATTCCTTGTGATGAAGTCTGCAGTGTTGAGTCTACTGTTGAGATATTAATACATGCTATAATGAGGTTGATGAGGTTGCAAACTACCAGTGATTCTATCAAACAGCTACATGCTATATCAAAGCCAGTAGTTCTATTTTTTGACAATTTTGAGACTGTTTGGGATAAAAGTAATAATTAAAGTGTTCAAAGATTTTTAGAGCAGTTGAATGCTATAACACATATTACTCTGATGATTACTATGAGAGGAAGTGTTCCTCCAATAGACAATATTGATTGGCTAGAACTACCATATAATGGTCTATCACCATTAGCTGAATCTCCATCATCAGATGTGTTTATTACTATTTCAAAATATAATGGTGATATGAAAATTGTTATAAAGCTACTTGAAAAACTAGATGGATGGCCATTAGCTATTATGTTAATGGCTTACCAGGCCAAGATCATTCATCCAGAAGTGCTTCTAGAGAGCTGGGATAAGGAAAGAACCTTATTATTAGAAAAACCAGGAGCTCAATCTCGGTTAACTAGTGTTAATATTTCAATCAAAATAACTCTTCAGTCATCATTGCTTTCAAAACCAAACATTTTCAAGTTGTTGAGTGTAATATGCTATCTCCCTGATGGTATTCCTACATGGTCAAAAATATTGAGCAAAATACTACCAAATCTTTCAGAAAGAACTGGAATTGTGTCAAATTTATTACAATCTGGAATTATATATGAAGATAGTAAAGGTGGATTGAAAATATTGCAACCAATTCAGGCATATTTGAAGGCATATTTTCAGCAGCCAGATATACATATAAAACAGCAGTTTTGCACTTTTTATTTAAATGAAACTAAAGATAAACAATTGAAATCCTTGATTTCACAAGAAAACACAAAGTTTGGTTTAGCTCATTTAAACAATTTTGAATGGATATTTGTTGAGATTTTGAATAGTTGTAATGATGAAAAAAAACTAAAAATAATATATAATTTTTGCTACTTTCAATATTTGACTACAGGATCAGATATTTTATTAAAAAAAGTTATAGCTATAACAAAAGATCTAAATATGCTATGTTTGTATGCTGAAGCAATATTATTATTAGGCAAAAAATTATGTATATTTAATCAACAACAAGCAGCACAAGAGAAAATAAATGAAGCAAAGCAAATATTTGAGACAATTAGTAGTTCTCTTGGAGCAGCACAGTGTTTGCAAAGCTTGGGAAATATCTTGCAGATGATGCATCAATATCCAGAAGCAACTATCAAGCTAGAGAAAGCCATGCAAATGTTTGAGACTATTAGTGATTCTCTTGGAACAGCACAGTGTTTGCAAAGCTTAGGAGATATCTTGTATATGACAGATCAATATCCAGAAGCAACAAGCAAGCTAGAAAAGGCTATGCAAATGTTTGAGACTATTGATAATTCTCTTGGAGCAGCACAGTGTTTGAAAAGCTTGGGAGACATCTTGCGGATGATGAATCAATATCCAGAAGCAACAAGCAAGCTAGAGAAAGCCATGCAAATGTTTGAGACTATTAGTGATTCTCTTGGAACAGCACAGTGTTTGCAAAGCTTAGGAAATATCTTGCAGATGATGCATTAATATCCAGAAGCAACTATCAAGCTAGAGGAAGCCATGCAAATGTTTGAGACTATTGGTAATTCTCTTGGAGCAGCACAGTGTTTGCAAAGCTTGGGAGATATCTTGTGGATGACAGATCAATATCCAGAAGCAGTAAGTAAGCTAGAGAAAGCCATGCAAATGTTTAAGACTATTGGTGACTCTCTTGAAGCTGCACAGTGTGTGAAAATTCTTCATCATTGTCAAAAGTTCTTGTAAAAAGACTATTAAGAACTTATTAAAGCATTTATTTAGAATGCTAACTCAGTTCAGAACCTTGTATTCTTAGCATACATGACTACTATGGACTAAGTATAAGTTAGCTGGTATTCATTATGACTCATGTACAAGTAATTAGTTAGTACATAAGAAAGCCTAACTATGAATAGAATATCTTCTCTTCTGCTTATACTCTGTAACCTTAAAATTTAGATCTGTGCCAGACTAGAAGTAACACAACTTAAGCTTAAGAATAATCAAGCTGTGGAATGTTAATTAGCCTGTGGCTGTAGAAGCTGATGTAGTGTCTAGTTAGTCTGAGTTTTGCTGAGTAAAAGTTTATTAAGAGAAAAAAAGTACTAAAAAATACATAAAGATATTTAAATTGCTAGCTTTCATAATATTCTGTACTTGATTGCCTTTTTTTAAGCAAACATACCTGATCACAAGATGCATATGTTATATAATATAACCTATATTACTCAAGCCTTCTAAACCCTTTCTTGATTTTATCTGCACTTCTAATCCTAGTTGCTCTGATGATAGTCAAGCACAAAAGAGTGCATGTGATCACTACATTCATTGACAACATGAAACGCATCTATGAACAAGCAAAATGTGCCTTGGAACAAGCTGCTGAAACTATAAAGAAAAACTATAATAAGTACAGACAAGAAGCCATCAAGTACTTCTCCAGTGATAAGATTTGGCTTGATGCTACCAATCTACATCTTTTGCAATGCATGAAATAGCTTAATAACAGGTAAGTTGGACCCTTTGAAGTAATCACCAAGAATGGATGATCTGCCTACAAGCTTAAACTGCCAACTAGGTGAAAAATCCATAACACTTTCAATGAAGTTCTTCTTACCTTATGCTATCCACCCAAGTTCCCCAATCAGCAGCAACCACCACTGCCCAAACCCAATCTTGTTAATGGACAAAAAGAATACAAGGTTGAGAAAATTTTAGATGGTCATACTTGTACTGTTGGTTGCAGTTAAAGGCACAAGGAAATCATTGAGTATCTCATGAAGTGGAAAGGTTATCCAATGTTGTGTCTACAACCTGTTTACATATGTAATTTTGCAATCTGATGTATTTTATATGCATACTGAGATATAGTGGGCAAGTGGACTAAAACTACATGTCAACACCAATACTGCATGATGCACTGACATGAAACTGACTTATGGTATAAGAAGCAGTGGAACATTAAACAGGACTTAGTCATAGCACTGTATCTAATAGGCATGCTTGATGAGAAGGCCAAACCCTAAACCCCAATGCTATATGCTATAACTTACACTAGCACTCATGGGAGTTAAATAAAACTATGAAGATTACATTAATATTAATAATATGTAGTAAGCTCACTAACTATGATGTATCATATCTGAAAATCCAGAGAATTTCTTACACAAGATAATATTTATAAGAGATACAGCCTTTGGCAGTGGGATTTGGCAAAAACCTGTAAGCCTGAATACTATCATCCTGAAGACTCATTTGTTGCCATATTTATAAGAAGCCTTTAGAAACATATGACAAAATTGACAGTTCTGGGTGTTTAGGCCTGTTGATTATTAGGCCAAAAGCTTATGGACTTATGATAAGCATCCCTTGATATGAGTTTAATGAGCTCACTAAGGAAAAGAGACTAAAATTAGAAGGTCTGAGCCAGCTCTAGAATTGGAAGAGCAATATTCACAATTGCCTTTCCAATGCCTGTGTGATCAAGTTCACCTGCACCTGTGAGAGGGTGGTGAAAGTCATGTACTCTTATAAAAAAGTTTAATGCAACGTGTGACAGGTATAAAGGCTGGTTATTATAAAAAACCAAGCTACTACAGCAGTATGTAGCTCTTTATATACTACTAACTAACATTCAATAGGTACTATTGAAAATGTCAAGAATAGTGGAGCATGTGGAGTGACAATGAGGGGAAGGAATGAAGGAGGAGGACTGGGCCAAAGGCTAGCTCATTATATATACCCTTCTATCCAACAAAGTTGGGCACTATAGGTAGAGTAAGAAATAAATGAGTGTAATATCTTTGAATAAAAAAAGAAAAGTTAATGAAAGGATGTATAAAGTAAAAGGAACATCACAAAATCAAATTTTTATGGTCTTTATAGTGGAATCTCTATTTGTGTCTGTTTTTTCATCTTCTGTATCAACATAGTAAAGCAAACCATCCTTGTTGGTGTTAATGTCTTTTCTGTGATTAAAATCTGGATCTCCATCCACATCTATTGATCTAACACTGTCCTCAATGAACTCAGAGAGATCATTCAAGAGGTATGTTGGATAAGGGGGTAGATTACCAAGTGACAGGGAACCCTTGAAGGCAAACACACAAGAGTGTCCAGCTTTACATACAGACTTTTATACTACTTGTAAAAGAAACTATTAGAAATTTTGTGCAGAGAAAAGAAACATAGTTGAGTAATACTTATCAATTCTGATAGTAAATCTGGTGAGTGTGATTGCTTGTGATAATCTGTACTAAAAATTGCACACACTCCTTAAGCAACAAGTGGATCAGAAAATGGCACACCTCCAACAAGTAAATCCACTGAAGAGACTGGCTGTGGGCACCTGTGGAATAGTGGGCAGGCTAAGAGACAAACCTCAAAACCCACACACATACTCACACAAACTATACAAAATACAATCACACTTGTAAGTTCTAGGAGGAGCAATTATTTCTAATGCAACCCAATAGTACTTCAATATCAAGTAGAGTTTCTTTGTATTCTCAATGCTCTTAGCAAACTAAGTTTTCTCAAATAAATTCCTAAGTCTAGAAACTTTTAGGTAGGATCATCAAAGCCAAGCCATTGCTGGCACCTCCAGCCCCAGAGATGTCAGTCCAAGTCAAAGCCTTGACAATGGCTCTCACTACTCAAGGTCCTGCTAGTACTCAAGGTTCCACATGCCAAGAGGTGAGCATGCAGATGGCAGCAGTCATGAGTACTGGTGAGTGACATCAGTTCCCTCCTACTCATTCAGCTGAGATTGACAAGAATGGGTGAGGTGTTAATGCACCAACTCAAAACTATGCAAGATATGAGTCCTATGTGGCACTCATGTTTAGTGATTCACTGTGAGGACAGTGTTGCCAGTTCTCATGGATGGTGGTGAGAGACAATTGAGTCATAAAACAGGGAGATCAGTAAGAGTTGGGAGTATATAATCTTAGCCAAAGCTGGGGCTTAAGGCCACAGCATACACTGACCGACAAAAATAAAGAAACACATGGTTTTTTTGATCAGAGTCGCAATAGCTCCTCAACACTGTGATATTTTTTTGGACTTCCAGTGAGTGTAATGTAGCTTGATATCTGTAGTTTAATATTATGAAAAGAATGAGGCAAAAATACCAGTCAGTGAGCAAAGTAAGAGGGCTGCAAAACCACATGCCAATTTTGATGATGTAATGGCATCACATCAATGTCAGAACCAACTTGAATCTGAACCACCACCTGGGCCAATTGCACTGAAATTCCTATCATGTATTCACCTCCTCCTCGCAAACCAAATGTGCCTATTACCCCTATGAAAGCAGTCTGTATTTGCACTCTCCTCAATGAAGGCCACACCTGCACTGAAATCAGCAATGTCATTGGATGTTCGCGCTCTACCGTCTGCAAAACTGGCCACAAATATGAAGGGAAGGAGAACTACTATGCTCACATTGAAGGGTGAGGCCGCCCGTGCAAGATGGATGATGCAGATATTAAATTTGCCGTGCGAAAAATCTGTAGTCATGACTGCCAGACAGCAGTTGACGTTCAACAGGGGTATTTCGACCATCTTTCGGAGCGCACTGTGCAGCACAGGCTTTCAGATGAGGGCCTGAAGGGTTACAAGAGGTGGAAGGTACCAATGCTCACAAAGGCTCATGTTAGAAAGCGAAGGGTGTGGGCAGAGGCACATGCAGAATGGGGAGCAGAAAAATGGGGTACTGTGCTCTACTCAGATGAGTCCAAATTCAACTTCTTTGGGTCAGATGGAGTGCAGTGGTGTCGTAGGGGTCCTGGTGAGGCACTAGATGTGCATAACGTGTTGCCCCGGTTGAAGCATGGAGGTGGGGGGGTGATGGTCTGGAGATGCATGATGAGTTTGGGCTTCGGACGGCTGATTTTGGTGGAAGGCACTATGAATGCTGTCCAGTACTGCCAGATACTTAATGAAGGACTTCTCGGCACCCTCCAGGACTATGAACTCTCAGTCGACGATGTCCTTTTTCAGCAGGATAATGACCCCAAGCACACAGCTTGGCTTACGAAAAAGTGGCTCGCCAACCAAAACATCTCTGTAATGGACTGGCCACCAAACAGCCCTGACCAAAGCATCATAGAGAATGCTTGGGCTACTCTCGAACATTGTCTGAACAACAGACCACATCACCCGACAATGACTGCCACATTATTTGCCATTCTGCAGGAGGAGTGGGCTGCACTTGGAAAAGAGTATTGCAATGCGTTATATGGTAGTATCCCATCACGGGTGAGGTCCTTGATATTGGCAAAGGGCAGGCATACTAGATATTAGGTTGTTGGACTTTTCGTCAGGTCAATTATCTTGTTTTCTCATTTTACTTACACTGCTAAAAATGACACTCTCGGCTAATATATTTATATCTCATCATTTTTTTCATGTATGTACCTCATTCTTTTTCTAACAATAAACTACATCAATTAAGCTACATTTCTCTCACTGAAAGTCTGAAAAAATATCGCAGCATTGAGGAGCTATTGTGACTCCAATCAAAAAAACCATGTGTTTCTTTATTTTTGTCGGTCAGTGTAGGTGAGCTTAAATACACATTTGCTTCTATTAATAATAAGTCCTGGCTGCAATTCTTGCATGGAGAAGTGTAGCTTTCAGCAAATGAGTGTAAAGAATGCATGTCTCTCACATGACAGTGGGACTCCATCTGATTAGTCTTTATTCTGTAGACTGCCCTCGACTAGTGGTCTATGCTGTTAAACCACTAAGAAGCACAATGTCATCAAGAGAAGCATGATGGCACATGAGGAATGTTGGTCATCTAGGATGTGGCAACTAGGTAAATGGGTAGAGAATATGCCAGGGGAACATTGTAGATCCAGGAGATGAGATAGGGTTGATGATGTTTTAGATAAGATAAGATGGAGATAAGGATAAGATAAGATAAGATAAATAGAGATAAGGTCATAATAATACTCTCTGACTAAGACTGTCATCCTGACAGTCATTAGACATACTCACTCCCCGAGTCAAGGGAGTTAGTAGATTCTGAAGTGAAGCCACATTCAGACATTTCTTGGTCATCCAGAGATGTAGTGTATTGAGGTTCTAGAGTAAATAAACCTTTGCCACCATTTGAGACTGGAAAGACTGTTGAGCTCTCAGTTATTGAAGAGCCAGGAGATGATATGGAGTTCTCTGATTGATTCTTTAAGTGT